TCCAGTCACAACGATAGGAATATCGACTTCCTTGGCCAAGTTTGCAGCTTCTTTGATGGCGACCTCCTCATCAATGAGCTCAAATCCACCAGCGCGGCCTGCAAGAGTCAAAGCTGTGCCAACACCTCCTGAGAGGTCCTCGTTTACTTGAACAACCTCAAGCTCGAGGGTTAGACCCTCAACCACATCTATGTTGCAAAACTTCTCCATGGAAAGCCTGTTGAAGCAAGGCGTAGGCCCTGTTTTCGGCGGCTGGTCCGTCCATAAATCGATGACATCTTTCCCGTCTACTTTGAGCTTGCCCTTCCCCGATGTACTGAAGCCGAATCTGAAGGGGCTCGTGACGGAAGGCGTGTATATAGCCCGGGCTCTGACGTAAAACTTCTTTGGAAGCGACGCGTGGAAACTCTCTGGCACATCTATGAGTTCTTTCTGGGCGTGAGCCGTCACGAGTACTTCTGCGTTAGGGTTCTCGTCCGGATTCTCCTCAAAGATCTCAACTGACCACCCAAACCCTTTGTGCTGTGACTGCTGAGGCATTAAATTCTTTAGAAGTGGGCTGAATCTGAAGGCTGCGACTGCTGTTAATATCAAATATCCCAAGTATGTTGAGTGAAACCTTACAATGGCAACCAAGGGCATATGATACGTTTTCCTTTCCAACTGCCTCGACAATAGCATCGTAAGGTGTCACGGAGTAGTAAGGCTCAACCTCTGCACTGCCACCTCCACTCAAAGCAGGGTTCTTGACGTGATCGCCAATCAATCCGATTGTCTTCCCTTCTGGTTTTGTGATGGGGAGCACCTTGCGATCATTCTTTAGCAAGACGATGCTTTCAGCAACCAGTTGACGAATCAGAGCCTGCTGCTCGGGTGTGTTCGACGCCGCGAAATAGCCAGCCGGTTTCGTATCCTTCACTTTGTTCACCAAATTGAGAACATTCCGAACAGCCTCGTCAACTGTCGTACGCGCGACTTTGCGGCTGTTGACAGCTAGACTTAGACACTTGCCTCTCCATTGTGTGGGCCCGGGCATCTCCAGATCCAGCCCGGCGTTGATGGCTTCAGAGGTGCTGTACGTACCAAACCAGTCGCTCATGACGAGTCCCTTGAAGCCCCATTCATCTCGAAGAACCTGCTTCAGCAGCAAAGGGTCTTCGCTAACGTGAATACCATTGATCTTATTGTAAGAGGTCATAAAGGTCCAGGGGTCTGAGTCGCGCATGACGAGTTGGAATGGCATGAGATGGATCTCCCTCAAGGTCCGCTGCGTCATGCAGACATTATCTTCAATGGAATTATCCGATTGATCGTGCGCGGCATAATGCTTGACACTCGTTGCAACACCTCGTTCTTGCACACCGTTGATGTAGGCTGCTCCGAGAATGCCGCTCAGGAAGGGATCCTCGGCGAACGCCTCGAAGCCACGTCCAAATAATGGTGAACGCTGGAGGCAGATGGTAGGTGCCAACAGCACATGCACCCCTCTGGCTCTTGCCTCCTCTCCAAGAAGATTGCCGACCTTGTGCAATAATTCGGCGTTGAAAGTTGCGCCCATACCAGTGGCAGAGGGCAGCATGGGGCTCGGGTTCTGGGGAAGAAAATCATTTATCAGTATCGGAGCCAAAGAATGGACAAATTTGAAGGCTTCTCGTCGCCCAGAGCGATCAAGGACTTGGACTAACACGAGCAAAAGAACGACGTCCTCGGATGCCATGAGGGCCGTCTGAGGTCTGCACGGGAGGTCAGCAAGATGCTCATCCCTAGGCAAAGTGCCGGCTAACAATGAGATCTGGTATTTGGCGATGAGGTAGACCGGTCGTTCGGAAAGATCCCTGCCCAGCAAGCAATTCGATCTTCTCGTCCCAGGTCATTTGCTTGATCAACGCCTCGACGTCGAGGGGGGTGAACTCAGCAGCCATCTCGACGATTCTGATAATTCCTTGATCTGACGAAGCTCAAGTGATTGAAGTTAGGGGAATTTGGAAAGCCCGGTATTCTCGGACAGCTATCAAGCTTCAAGTGGCCTTCCGGTCAATATTATGCGGTGTCATCTGGGGTTTCGGTCAGCACAGACCCGAGTCCGAAGCACAAAAACCGCCGAAATACTGTCCTTCCCCGTAGGATGAGCGGGCCGTCTCGGAGTATCGTCGGTAAACGCGACGGAGTCTCCTGTCACGCGTGAGCAGAACTTGCCTTGATTCGATCACTTCGGTGCATTCGGCGCATTTAGGCTAAACCCGCAGCAGCCGGAACCCTGTCCGGAGACCTCCGGAGTCCACGGGGCCCCGCAAATACCACATCCGATCCAGTCCCGGGACCAGTCGCTGACTCCGCTCTGCGAAATGCGGGAATTTATATCTCCGGAGGAGCGGTGATGGATTGGGATGCACGAAACGGCCGTACTTTGTTCCATCAGTAATCCATGCGACATCAGGATTACAGTCAGCAAAGGCCTCGTGCCAAAGAGAATGGAGCGCCTTCGCTCGGAGGAAAGCCTGAGTGTAAGCTGAGCGCTAAACGTAGGCGACGAGGTTTTGTCCTTCTACATGATCTTTGAGCCAATACTAGACATCGTGTAGGGTATCTCGATGAGACCGCGAGACAAAGCAGGATCATACTCGGTGAGCAAATGCGTCGCTTCCTTATTACGATAACGCCCGGCACGGTCAATAGGTATTGGCATTCTAGTATCATTTGTCACCTACAGGCCGGAATTGTCCCTAAAATGACAGACAGGTCTGGATCGAGACGTGAGTTGCAGATGCATGGTGTTTGCTTCTTGGCCCTTCGATGTTGTTGTATTTCTGCGGATAGCTGCATGAGTTGAAACATCAACACTGTTACGCAATTAGCAAGCAATTCTTTGTTACCTGTAGGGTTTCCGAGGTTACCTTCATTGAATTATCACCTTCATGTCTCTCATCAATAAGTGCATGATTATTTGCATGCCCTTTGAGAAGGAGTATGTCCCTTACTCTTGCTTCTTTCTGCAAAGCGACTATTACCTTCACCGCCCTCAACGGTCATACCACTTGGAGATGTCGGACTCACCTGGTGACGATGCCCTTTTCGACTCTGGCGACCGGTATGGAACCGACTGTCAATCATATGAAGACACTCATGATGATTCTGACATGTCTACCTTGTTTCACTGGAACTTAGATAGTTCTGGCCAAGATGTCTTGTCGGTTCGCGTTTGCCTGGCTCCAATAGGGGGCGGACGTGAGCCTGATCGCAACATGGAGAAACAAAGGCGAAGAGATCAGACTCGTTACCAGGAGCAAGCGAACCATTCAGTTGCGGGACCATCGACTGCCGATATTCCTCAGCTTCATCTAGTTGACAGCCAAGGGAATTACAAAAAGTATCGCCTCGTGCCGGCAGAAGTCGAAAAGAATCAAGCCATGGAAGACCCGAGACAAGATCTGGAAAGTCTTGAAGATCTTCTTGGTGACAGGAAGAAATCAAGCCAACAACTTCAAGTTCCGAAACGCAATATTCACCCACGCCATTTTGAAGGCTCCATTCTCTCCATAATTGACTCGATGGAAAATTCTTCTGGGATCAGAAATGTGGAATATGTCATATTCTTTTCTCTGATGGTGGTGATTGCCATTATCATTGTGGTAGGCCTCTCGACCAGACCTCTCTCCACACTTCCCTGTCTGAACTCTACTCGTGATGCCACGGCGTTGCACACAAATCGTAGTATTCACTACCCAGAGATGAAAGAATATTGATGGGATTTATTTGCAGATGACTGTTTTCTCTCATCCATAGTCGTGTGCCTGATTGCTTACGACGATCTTTGGGGCATAGGAACCACGGGTCGTGAGTTTTGGCAGCTACTCTACCACATCACGTACCAAAAGCTTACGAAAGCAGAGACTGAAAATCACGGGCAATTAATTGATGTTAAGATTTCAGCTGGAGGGTGTGTTTACTGTCTAACTCGAAGCAATGCATATGTAATGCAAAATTCTTGTCGCATTCTACCACCAATACCAAGACCATAAAATTGGCAGTCTTTACCTCCCCATCCCCTCGGCCCCAAACTTGTCACTCGAGCACTGGGCCCCATCAACCTGGCATCTACATTAGCCGCCAAAGAAATTCAAAGCCGATCCTAGATCACAACGACCTAAAAGCAAAAATGTCGAATTCCTCTGACTCGGGAGACGAATCATGCTCGACCTTGTCGGACTGCCCACAAGATTTCGAACTACCTGCTGCTTCTTATGGAACGTTTCCCACCCAAAAGAATGCATCATCGCAGAGACAAAGTCAACCGATTCATCGAAGCTGGGCCGCAGGGCCTTGTATGAAGTCTCCGCAGCTCTACCTTGTGGATGCTGAAGGAACCACCCACAGATACAGATTAGTTCCAGCAGATATTGAGGACGGCCAGAGACCAGCATCTACTTCCTCTACTGATCCCTCTTATGAGATATCGGAAAGCAAGGAGCTATGTGCTTGGGTGATGTTCGTTATTTTGGTCGTGGTGGGATTCGTATGTCTGACCTCTTCAGATCCTCGACTGGGATGGTCAGCTTAATATGAGTAGGTAGAGTTCAACCAATCAACCAATCAAGCCCTCAGAGAAAATGCAAACATACACTGTCGTCCTGATGTTCTAATTGCCTAGATGCAAAAAGCTCAGCCCCTAACACAGGGAGCCTACGAAAGATCCGAGGAGACTCTTACCAGCCTCAGGTGTAACGATGCAAGGATTTTTACAAGAACAATACGGGACTCGAACCCGGGACCTATGCGTGCGGAGCTATTCAATTAATGCGATGACATTCTCCGCTACGACACAGGCCTTGGTGACAGAATGAAGCATTTTTGTTCATGATGTGGGCATCGAGGCTGGGTGCAGGCGGAATAAACAGAATATGCTTACTAGGGAAGGAAGGAAGGCCCACTCTTTTGCACCTTCTCCGTCGAATACAGTGAACACAAGGTCTCATGTGCATGTCAATTTTGTCAAAGTAGATCTACAGCTCTTTCGTACCCGAGATCTGAGCTGACCTATCGTTACCTCCATCAACAGGAGCTTCCGATTCAGCAACTTTGGCGTTCTCCTCGTCCGAAAAACCTTGGGCACTGATGGCTAGCTCATATCCGTACTCTGCCATCTGTGGATGCCGCCTATCCCACCACAACATACCAAGCTGTGTCAGAATTGTAGCCACGGTGAACGCAGTTGTAAGAGGAAATCCGATAGGGTATCTTGGAGCGTCTGCGACGCGGAAGGCGCCCAGGGGTATAGTCGCATGACCAATGTAGACCACTGTGACAGTCAAGGCCACGATAATGGAACGAGCCTCGGGCTCCTTTCGGAGTATCTCAGCCATCCATGCTATGAGCGATGGGCCACCGGCGTTGGTGCCATACGTGAGGAAGTAAAACGCAAGGATGACTTTGTGATCAGACGGCCACCCACATAAGACTGATAGACAGATGCCGTGAGCTGCGGCAGAGAAAATGCTTATCTGCCAACGCCAACGCTTCCAGTCGGAAAGCCAGTTGAGACCAATATTGGTGACAATTTGCAAGGCGTACCCACCCAAGGGCAGGATGTTGACCTGGTACGTGTCATAAACGCGGTTGCCGGCTGAGTCTTTGATGCTTTCGAGGTACAGGACAAAGTAGGAATTTGCCCTATGAGCCCAAGCCCCAAAGGCAAAAGAGAAGAGGTAGAAGTACGTGACTGGATGAACGATAAGCTTTCGCAGCTTTTGGCGGAGTACGGATGCCGGAATGCGCTTGGATGTGTTGACGCCAGAGTTTCCCATCCTCTCACGAGCCAGGCGTTTCTCGTTCTCAGTGAGATAGATGGCGCGCGTATTCGCTGGCGAGTCGGGCACGGTGACGAAGGCTATGAGGCCCTGGCCCACTGTGACGGAGCCGGCGATGATGAAGAGCCACTGCCAGCCAGCGAGGCCATGAACACCGTTCATGTCGCGAAACAGAGCTGCTTGCAGAGCACCGAGGAACATCGCGCCGGCAACGTCACACACTGTGAAGCAGGCGACTCGGACGGCGAGCTCGGCGGGGGTGTACCAGTTGAATATGAGGGCGACGACGCTTGGCCAGAAGGCAGATGAGAACAGTCCGAGGAAGAACCGGAGACCGAAGATCGTTTGCGCATTCGGGGCTTTGTATGTGCTGCGCTAGTGGTGAGATGGCGTTCGATAAGAAAGATGTTGGAGACTTACAAGAGTACCAGCAGCCCCCAGCTCATCTCACAGAATGGAAGGAACATTGAGGGGCGGAATCTTGTCTGTATCAACTGGCCAGGTACCAAGCCCAGAGCATACCCAATTGAGAAAAAGGTATTGAATTCGACAAGCTCATTGCCGTATAGGCTGAGGGACTCTCTCATGCCGGAGACGTAGGCTTGGGTTGTGGCAGACTGATCCATTTCCTTCATGATGCCTGCCAGGAACATCCATGCAAGCAGCATGACGTCTAGTTTGAAGACTAGGACATTTCTAGGGTCGCGAAAGTACGGAATGATCCTCGAGATGTGCTTAAAGATGCCTTCTTGTGGGGGGCCATAGTTGATGGGTTCCTCGGTCCCAGGCCTGGGTGTCGACAAAGTCACTGATGTGGGTTCGCCCATTGTGGCTTCAGTGACATTTACCAGCAAGCAAAGACTGAAGACCCCCGAAATATAAGAGGGTGGAAATGACCTCGTGAGCGAGATCAGGAAGTCCCATCTGGTAAAAGACGAGGCGCTGCTTCATGACTATATAAAGAGCCATCTCGGTTGTATTAGCTAAAGGAAACCATCAATACGATTCAAGTCGTCAAGGAAAAGTTGGGCGAATTCTTCCGAATGAAGTGATTTTCGATGTCGCGATCCAAAAAAGATTGCCATCCCGCGCCCAGGTTGCAGGTGCTTGAAGACGCCAAAGTCTGGGCAAAACCCACCAGGTGTAAGGCAAACGTTGCATTAATCGCCTCCCACCGCACTGTCAGTCCAATCACCGACGGTAACGGAGGCCGCGATGTGGGAGCGGGCGAGAGACCGGGGCGTTCCGTCGGGGTTGGGTCCAGAGAAGCCCCTGCCATTCAGCTATTGCGTGACCAGAGATCCAGACTGCGACATCTCTCACCCGTGCTTAGTGCCCGAAAGACGGGCGATGTGTCACCCGCTTTTGGTAATTTCTGTCGGGATGGCGGCGACGGCGCGGTTGTGTGGGTTACAAGAGGCTATTTATTGGACCCTGGCGATCCTTAAAACTCATTGGCCCTCTGACGGCAGCAGTTGGAAGTTCTTGGTGGATAAGGTAGCCAAATCATTTGAATGGTAAGGAGAAATATTGCGCTTCCCAGGCCTTATCTTTTACTCGCAAAATAAGTTCGGTTTACGATCTATCCCAGTTAGGTGCGCTCGTAGGCTTCATCCTATGCCAAGGCTTTCTCATCAGTTAGCAGTGTTGCGATTGACACGAAGAAGAATCGTCAAAGCCGAGGCGCAATGTCAGCAAATCATCAACATTATTGAGCCTACAATGCATTCAATTCCTTGTTATTCTTATTTGTAGATGTGCTACGTCTTCACATTTCAAGGCATTTCGGGCTGAGGAGAATGCTTCCACGGAATTGTCAAGCATGCCCAGCCGTATCAGCGCATGAGAGACCGGAGCTGTCAATTTCTTGTAAGTGCATATGAGGTGGACTACTAATACCCTGGAATTTGGAGAACTGGAATATTCTCTTCCTGAATTAGGAGACGGGTTTAACGCTCTCTTCCATCAACTCTGATTGTGTGATGGACATTGAGCCAAAACTTTGATCTGAAATGACAACACGCGAGCTCTTATCTCATGAACTTCAATTTATCAATAGTCCTGTTCGGACCTATGAAACCCGGCTTTTCCGGCGGGGCCTGAGCGAAGGGAGAGAGAAGACATGCATCGGTGTTCCAGAGTGGTACGAGTTTGCTCCGTGGAGGCGTCCATATTTGTTTTGCCAACTGGCGCTAGTCTCAGGCCCACGCGGTCGATTCGAGCCAGTAACCCTTGGCTAAGACATTGGACATCCCAGCGCCGCTGATGTATCACAGAGCGTAAACAAAATTTCGACCGCGTAATTCATGGGAGAGTAAAGATACGATCAAGATCATTTGCCTATTACAAGCTCAACCTCTCGAGCCGAGCTTTTCTTCATTGCGGCGATCGTGCCTCGGCTGATGTAAAAATGAGAATTCTCAAGGCTCAGCTTGACGCGTGCATCGAGCTGCATCGAGCTGTGAGGGTACTTTTGAGAAAAGCAAAGCGTTTCACGAAAACACGGCTTGCGTAATTTCTTTTGGTCGTCACCAAGCTAGGGAAGTGTTCGCTCGTGCCGCCACAGCGGGATTCTGTCAAATCTCCAACGCCTTTCCGAAGAGTCAACGTGCTTATTCGCACATCACCTGTCAATATCACAGCTAGCGCGAATTGGCGACTAAGAGAGGCACCCCACCGTCAACACTATTCGCCGTTGACTAGCTTGACTTGCAAGCTGACCATACGCACCAGAGACACTTGTCTCTTGATTGCCTCGTACAAATGCCGGAAATCCCGAGCAGGCGCATGTTCTGTGCAAGGGGCACGTGGGAATACACCAACCGTTGTTCGCTTGAAATATGCAGCACGCCTTCGCATTGTTGCACACGTGTGATTCGAAAGGTAATCAACCTCCTACCAGTCTTGATCGACCTTTCCATCTCAGCCGTCCAATGTAAAGCTAAGAACGGAACTCCGCTCTCAACTGCTTCAACGTCAACTGTCCCTCGACGTTTGCAATCCGCCCGAACAGTATACAGTGATCAGATGGCAATCAGCGACTGGTCTGGGCATTCGGCTATTGTTGAAGACGGCAAGAAGCGGGAGCTGGCGCCTCCAGATATTGCGGCAGTCGATCGATCCGACAACAGGCCTTCCGGTACATACGTAGCGATTCCCATTTCGACGGAGCCCATGGCATCCCGGAGCAAACGATCGTGGCTTCGACGATATTGGATTTTTGTGCTCGCGATGGCCATCCTCATCGTTGGTGGCATCATTGCTGGTGCCGTTGGGGGGATCACTGCTTCTCATCAGGCAGAACAGAGGGGTTCCACCTGAGCTTGTGATGAACAAGAGAAATGTTTGACTAGATGGCCAGAAAGACGATCTATGTAAGTCATTCGAATGAGTCGCTCAGCCTATGGTGTCGTTTCTAGAACCAGAAAGTGACTGACGGTGTTGTTGGTGTCAAAGACGTTTATTTCATTCGATACCCCGAACCCTAGCGATTTTTTGGCAGCATCTTCCGATGTGGCTATCAATTTAGAGCCGCCTGCGTTCCGATAATTTGCTTGAAGCGGATTGATCTGCGACTGCCGTCCGGGCCTGACTGCCGGACTAAGAAATCCAGGCATGATGTGGAAGTGGCCCCGGAGAGACCGTTTGGTTGTCTAAGGTCTCACTTAGCACAGAGCAACTAGCTCTTAGTCGACACGGAAATGATGATTGGGACGCTATAGAGGACGAAAAACATTGAAGACGATAATGGGCTGCTCCGGGCGAAAGGAAATTGAGATATCATGGGAGGCAGTTTTGCTCCGGGAACTCGCAAGCTGTTCATGATCCTACGGACAAGGCATCCAGCGACGATTGGACGGGCCGGGACACTGCCCCGCGTCCGTCTCGGGATCGCATTGCTAGAAGATGACCACTTAGACATGTCGTTGCACAGACCCAGTAAACTCGGCACTATGCCGATGCAGGTCTATGGCCGCCACATACCCGAGGTAGCGCCAATGAAACCCAAGTAGAGTCCAAGTGGTATCCGTAGGCAGCAGAAGAACTGCTCCTGGGCGGCTCCTGAGCGGCTCTTCTGATCAATCAGCCAATGTGAAGAGATGCAATACTAACGACCAATCCCAAGTGATGTAAAGGCAATGTCAGCGCCAGTAGATGGGTCTATGTCAGTCTGGTGTCACATGAGGTTTCAAGCCGGATGGATCCATGGCTTCGGACGACCGGCGGACGAGATAACAGATCTCAAGGATGGGAATCATCCTTGACGGGTTGAGATGACGGATAGGAATTGCATCCGTGATTGATAATTTTAGGACTATATTTCCAGCACATCCCTGGGGAGGTGCCCGATGGAGGTCATCGACAGCTCACCGAGGCCCCATTTTGGCGCTTAGAAGCAGAGGCGGCCGCCCTTGATGCGGGGAATTCTGGGGAAATAGTGTGAATGACCCGCGGGCCGGCCGCAAGGGTCTGGGCCGGTGAACTCTATTCTGACTTGGCAAGGGGTGAGGTTTCGGTAGTTACATTTTGCCCATTGTTGAGATCAATGGCCATCGTTCTGTTATTGCCTTATGAAATGTATCGTCTGATCATTCTTAGTATAAGATATAGCTGGAAGATGCCGTTTATAAATGCATTTAACACTACTATCCTCGTCAGCAAACAAGACTTCACACAACATTGCCCCCTCAACTACACAAAGCAATGGCTCCTGGTCGAACAGACGACGAAGCGGCTGAGGTCGCCACCTCATCCAAGACACATGCAATTTCGAATTATGGTCTGACTACGAAGTGGCCGGAGGCCTACGATCTCGCTGGATCCAATCTGCCATGCCGTCTAGAAGGTGAAATTGGCGACTTAGTAGTCCTGGGAGAAATCCCAAAGGAGATCGACGGCACCTTCTACCGAGTCATGACAGACCCCTTCGTGCCGCCCCATCCCAACAATGTTCCCCTAGACGGCGACGGCAACATCTCAGCATTCCGTATTAAAGATGGGAGAGTCGATATGAAGATGCGCTACGTCGAAACCGAGCGTTACAAGCTCGAGCGCAAGGCCAACAAGGCCTTATTTGGTCTCTATCGCAACCCATTCACCCATCACCCCTGCGTTCGTGCCGCAGTGGATTCCACCGCCAACACCAACGTCGTGTTATGGGCCGACCATTTTCTCGCCTTGAAAGAAGGAGGACTGCCCTATTCAGTTGACCCACAAACCTTGGAAACCATCAAATACGACCCTTTTGGACAAATCAAAGCAAAGACATTTACAGCTCACCCCAAGATCGATCCCTACACCAATGAGCTAGTCGTATTCGGATATGAGGCCAGAGGTCTTGCGTCGCTGGACATTGTCATTTACGCACTGGACAGCAACGGCGTGAAGCACGACGAGCAATGGATCAAGTCACCGTGGTGCGCACCAATCCACGACTGTGCCATCACGCCAAACTGGATCATCCTGGCACTTTGGCCATTCGAAGCTAGCGTGGATCGCATGAAGAAGGGAGGGCACCACTGGGCCTGGGACTATGATCTTCCTGCTACCTTCATCGTAGCCCCCCGTCGAAGTTCGACCAAGCTTCCGCCTGGCTGGCAGCCGGGCGAGAGTCGGGTGTACTCGTGGAAGAACTGCATGCTCATTCACACGGGCGGTGCGTGGGAGAGCGAGGACGGGGAGACGCTGTTCATGGAGACGACTCGTGTGCACGACAATGGCTTTCCATTCTTCCCTACGAACGAAGGAGTGTATCCGGCCCCTGATCCCAAGTCCGATTACGTTCGTTGGACTTTTGATCTCTCCCAGCCCACGAACAGCACGGTTCCAGATCCGGAGATTATTCTCGACATGCCTGCAGAGTTCCCTCGGCTTGATGAGCGTTTCCTGTCGAAGCCATATAAGTACGTCTGGATCAATGTCTACATTCACGAAGACCAGAACGGTGATGGCCATACTATTGTCGAAGGACTGAACGGTCTGGCGATGCACAATTCAAAGACGAAAGAAACCAAGTGCTTCAACGCCGGGCCTGAGTCATTCTGTCAGGAGCCGATCTTCATACCGCGAAGCGATGACGCGCCGGAGGGAGACGGATGGGTCATGACCATGGTTGAGCGCAGAGGTGCCAACAGAAACGAGATTGTGGTGCTGGATACGAAGGACTTTGAAAATCCCATCGCTGTCATTCAGTTGCCCTTCCATGTCAAGGCACAGGTCCACGGAAATTGGGTCGATCAGCGCCGGTTGAAGGCTTGGCAAAAGCTGGCGAGGGATGCGGTGCCTGAGCCCATTAGTGGGCAAGGAGCGCTGGAGCCATTGTAAATCTAGTCATCATTTCTATAGTTACCCCAAGTCTTCTCTTGAAGGTTGAGCTACAATGATGTTGTGATGCTTGTCTTGGAAGTCTTGAGATGAATGAAGCTACACCGATGGCTATTCCAGATGCCTCCAGGAGCTGTCATCGAGGCTTGACCAACAATTCCATTCTAAGTCCTGCGACTAACTCAGTCAGACCCCAGATGAGGAGTCTAGCCAGTACCGCAGTAATCAGCGTACTGCTTGGAACTGGATTCCGGGTTTCCCCACCACTGCAATGTTGTTAGAGGAAACTATAGACTTAATCTCAATTCATTGATAATACTCACCGTGGGAAATGGCACCTCTTTCCCTGATCCACCCGCAACGGCAAAGGTCAAAATGAACATCATGACCTTGGCACCTGCATCGAGACCACCGCCGACGATGTAGTTGTATTTGCCGAACCAGGCAGGATGACGCAGACGCATGTACCATTGAGACCACAAGCCAACCACGACCTGAGACCAAATGACAGAAGTAGTTCCAGATGTCGTCTCTGAGGCATTGTGGAATATGACAGGGGTGACGAACTTGCTTACTTCCCAGCCGTAGATAGTCTTGTACTTCTTGGATAAAAGCCACAAGGCAACGGGTATAGCAGCCCCGACGACGATGGAGAGAGGAATCCTGAAAGCAGCTGTGAGAAGATGTCAAAGCACGGAGAGTTTCTTTGAGATATTCACCAGCCATAACCATCCTTGCCGAATCCATAGACATACTTGGCGAGAGACCAGGTGACCGCAGTCGTGTTCAGAGACTGAATCTTGCGTCCGCTCCACTAGTCTTGGGTCAGGTCTGAGGACCAGAGTTTGAGGTCAAGACCAACTTACAACTTGGGTGCCGATAGGGTCAAGGAGGATTTCTCGGCGATTTGCTACAATTGTGTCCATTACAACGTAGTTCAGAGCTGTCCCAAACAGACTTCCCCAAGTTTGCAGGATGAACATGGTTCTCCACGGGATCTTGAGATATTGGGCCATCTTGAGGTCAGTTGACAAGAATACAGAGAGGACAGTAACCTCGTGACTGAACATCGAGAAGTATAAATTGGCGACAGGTTTTCCGGGTTGAAGTACGCCGCACAGCATCTTGGAAAGGTTGTTCGTGGCGACGCTAGTGCCCAGTAGGCCGTATAAGCACAGCGAAAATGGCGCGACAATGCATCCGAGAAGCTACGAGAACGATAAGAATCATAATAAGATTAGTGGAAAAGCCGAAGTAGACTTACAATGGCGCAAACATACGCCCAGGCATCAAGCGTGGTGTGGCCCTTGATGACGGCTCCAAGGCCAGTGAAGAAGCCGACGAGAAGGATGACAATGTACCACCAGATCGGCACGTCTTTGTAATTTTCTTGCATAATCTTGTAGTGAATATCTGTCTCTTCCTTCTTCCAGGCTTGTTTCAAAGACCGCTTGATGCTGCTGGATTCAGCAAGGGAGCAATACAAAACTGACTGGTTTATGGACCGTGGACTTACAGTGGCCCGTAAAACAGAGCGATATGAGTCAGTAGCGCTCCTATGGCAGCCATCGCGGCCATATTCGCCCAGATGTTGGACGCCGTCAACCGAGGGAGCCCATGTACCTCCAACGCCTCAGTATCGAGGATCGCGTTTTGCCCAAACACAGCCGTCTGGTTGTAGACCTTGCCAGTCTTCCCGTCAAACATGGCCGTCGACATGAAAGGGAACTTCTTGGCACCCCATGCTCCACCGTAGTAGAAACTGAAGCACATGATGTAAGAGAGCACGACGCCCACCCAAGAGTTGGCTTGTTGTAGGAGCGGCAGGGACATGTATCGCGACGTGATGTACTGCCAGTCTAGGGAGAAGTTGAAAATTCCCTGGCCCTCGTTGGAGTTGATGCCTCCAAAGATAGTCATTAGGACCTTCCGAGTTGGTGGCGCGGCCTTCATAGAAGCGAGACATGGGATGGAGATGCCGTTCAGCCAGGGCCAGACGTAAGATACTATGGGCTCCCATATAAACATGCCAATGGAGGTGAAGCCAAACACTCGGAGCCTGTCTTTGTTGTTGCCTTCGGGCTCGCGGTGGAGAGTCTGATAGATGGAGATCATGGGGAGGCATTGCCACCAGACCATCTCACTCGCTGTCTTGGGTCAGAACAGGTCCTCATCTCTGATAATTGGCAAGGGTCCCAAAGTATGACTGACGATGAACGATGATGGATCTCAGGATGCCAACGAGACCATATCCGAAGATTGATGCCGAGAAAACTGTCAGAATTGCAGTAGCAGGGTCGGTGCTGCGGTTGTAGAACCTAGTTGTTGTTGAGAAGCGAGCTTTCACGTTGAAGGATAGATTCCAAACTCACAGCCGTTCTGCACCAAACACCTGCACGATTGCAGCGCCATTTCCGCTCGATGTGGAAAGGATCGATGCAACGGCATGTTCCTTCAACCCAAAATGGCCTGGGTTGATAAAGTGAACAACTGGTCCAAGCCATTTCGCTTGCGATGGAAGATACTTTTCCACATGCTGCCGTCGAGGAAGCACAACTGACCAAGCAACTCCGATCACGTATGCCATCAAGCACAGAAACCTGACACAAATCGTCAGCATAATGCCTTGACCCTAGTTGAAGTGGGTTATGCAGCTTACACCGAGGCAAATGAAACATCGACAGGCTTATAAAAGTAACTGTGCGTGGTTGCGTCAGTACGAGACATCAGAAAACGACATGGATTCTTGTTACATTTGATTGATGCAGGCCGCAAGGGCTGTAAGGCCTGTTTAAAGTTAGCTCGCCGAAGCTTCAGTCATTTCACCGAAAATAATCATACCAGAGCCAATGATGAACGATCGAAAGGTACAAGACGCATCTCCATCGTCTTGGGTACTAACGACGTATCTTGCTACATCGTTGCCTTCGCGAATCAGCTGATGTTCAGAACCATGCGCTTCAGTCAAAAGCTCCATGACTTTACATACCATCTCTGATAACGACACCACCATTGACGAGCTTTCTCTCGTCGTCCAACTCATGCCGCTCAGGATCCGTCGTCTTCAGGCCGTCGTCTGACTTGTCGTCCTCCAGAATCAGACGTACATCATTCGAAGCGCCGGCTATTGGCGAAGGGACACCTGCATCCAACGCAGTGGCAGTGATAACCGTGTTATCTTTGGAACCCTTCGTGCTCTTCCCGAAGCCTGCCATTTTGACGGAAGTGGGGTATGTCCTCGAGAAAGGCAGGTTCCGTGGAGGTTCTCACACTGCATAGGCTTCTCTCAGTTCCTTATATCACCCATGCAAGGTTACTTGAATGTACGCTACTCAGGCCCGCAAATCCTCTCTCATCACGTCAACGGGGCTATTTTCTTAATTCCGGCAAAAGCCCACTGACTTAACGCAGCCAAGCATTAGGTATCGGTCAAGGTAAAGTCATGGTCCGCTCGCCGTCCCAAAATCGCGATACCTCGTTGTGATCGTCCGAGTGCGGACGTTGATTTTATGCAATGTCGGACTGCCGCCGACACATGGCGTGAACTACCGGCGGCTAAATTGGATACCGCACCCAAAAGTCTTTTCGGTTATGGAATGACGCGAGATCCGCCCGGCCAGTCGCCATCGTGCCTTGCCCCACACAGCCCGGTTCGGCTCCGACTTGTCGGGGTGGCCCTGTGTTCAGAAAGATGCCAAGGAGTTGTCAAAGTATTTCCTGAGTAATGCACGAATATTCAATGGACCTCAAACTTGACTTACGTGAACGTTTTTTTTGGCGCGTCTGGTGACTATCTTCAGCCGAAAGCACGCATGATCATTCAGATCCGGGACGTTGCCGATTACCGGCAGTGTTTTGAGATGGATCTTCCTGCTTCGGTGCTCCAAGAACAGACAGGTAATGTTCTCAAGTCCTTCTTACGGACAAGAGGCCAGCGTCGGTCTTCACTGCAACGATGGCGTTTCTTTCAGGAACAGTGCCATGGCAGATCTATGCTCCTTAGGCGACGGCAACCTTGGACGGCTTGTTTGTGTTGTTTTTAGGGGATTATAGAATGAAGTAGGTAAAACGCCGCTTTCGTCAATGTCGTTGCCAAGACGCTTGAGGCTCTTTTGCGTCTTGGAGGGAGGTTGGTTAGTGTCAAACTGCTTGGTCATCTGTTTGTTCGTAAGAAGTCTAAGATCTACCGCATGATCAGAACTTCAATGCTATCAGAAATACCGCATTCCCCATTGCAATGTCCAACTTGGCCGTTCAAGGTTACACATACCTTTGCATAAGGTATGGGACGTGAAACCGATGTGCCATAGAGGGATGATACATTTTCTCTTCTTTCATCGGGCAAGGGGTCGCAAGAGTGATTCACGAACATATGGCAAACCAGTTATACGCAGGTGAAAATCCGTCGCCAGAGACATCCGAACCAGAGCCAGTTTCGTGACAAGCATCTACCCCTTATACAGTGCTTGATTCTGAGATTTCTAATAACATACTTAGGTGGGTGTGAGAGGGTCCTGCTAGAGTGAGAATATTACTGTTACTCATCATTTTGCGTAAGAGTACTTGGGACGGTGGCCCTTTGCTTGTCAATCAACAGTATGTTCAGAGTTTGACGTTCAGGACGCACTCATCAGGCATTTTCCCCGTATCATCAAAGAACGTGATAGGTGTTCGGGTTCCCTTGCGGGATACAACATGATTCCAATCCTACCTTCGGGACTTATCCTCAGAACAATGTTTACTGCAAACCACCTCCAGTCCTTGCCGACAGTTTCTCCTGCCTATCCAAATTCTTGTCCTTGATTTTTCCTCTCACATGATCCGCTCACTGGTACCTGCCTTGATCGCTGCCATGATCTTCCCCTCCATCTTCCTCGCCATATTCGTGATGGCCTGCGAAACCATCGCAGCACCATACAAGTCCTCTACGGTGCTCGACACCATCCAAAGCAGGATAGAGAAGAAGATACCATCAAACTCCAAGGCTTCTTGCTCAGATGTTCGCTTCTTTGACCCGAGAGTCCTCGTAGAAGAGTGTAGCAAGAAGAAGGATTCGACCCCCTATCTCGTGGCTAAGTGTGACGACGGCAAGGGAGGCCAAAAGTGCTCCTGGATGCCCCTGGCCGCCTGTTTCGCAAACGCCCACGGCGAAATAGTTTACCGGAGATAGTGAGAAGTTTTCAATGTTTTCTTGTTGAACTTGTTTGCTGGGCACGGTGGTTCGTTCGACTAACTTTTCTCGAAGCGGCGCATTCTTCAAGTCTTGCGTGGATTGCAAGTATGAGAACGTTGGCGCAAACATGAAATGCGAATGCCAGGGTCCCAAGGCCCGGTACAGGCCAGCATCAACTTGAGTAAGTTCCCACTCCTGTCTTGTCTACCGTTTGTGAAGTCTGGAGCATTCGCTCAACTACTGGGAAAACAGACGAGTGGATGGACAATAGGGGAGGACAGCTAGGGTGCCACAGATTTGGAGGGAACGTAATTGATTGTACTGAGCATGAGATGATGGCAACCCGCTTTCATACGACTCCCGATGTCATTCCAGATGAGCCGGAATGGGCTTTCAAGGGCGGCTTGTGAGAAAGCATGGCTAAACCTTTGTTGGGGCCAGTTATCGAGCTTGGGTATACTAGCAAACAGGTCGTTCTTTCATGAATTTGTCATGAAAGGGAGCATGTACGACGCATCTGGAGTATCATGTTATGGCAGCTGTTGTCTTGAAAGCCCTCGTGGTTCTGAGGATGGTAGTATTCACCCAAATACCATTCAATTGTCATGTCTACCTCGTGGCCAACAACCTCGAGGCGGCCAACCATATCAATATCACACAGGCCAATCGAGTGGATTGAACCAAAGCTTAGAAGGCCATGCCTGTGATCTGCTGGGCCCCATTCACCACGTCGGAGCCTTACCGAGACTCTAATACATAACAGCTGCTACCTCCGTCATTGACTCGGTTTTTTGCCTGATTTAAGTAGAGGCCAGAGCTGACCCACGATAATGCACTTTCACCCTAGCTGTGTATTTCGTTCTGATAGGCAAGAGAATCAACACCACGATGAAGTGCTTCGTAGTACTCCTCGCTGCCACAACGTTGGCAATGACAGCCCCAGCCGACCTCGAAAAGTCGAAGAATGACGACAACTTCCTCCACAACTGCGATTTCGTCAACTTCGGTCTCGGCGACAATGACCAGAACCCTTGGATCCACTACTCGTGCCCCTTGAACAAACCACCCTACATGCAATGTTCAATCCTGGAACTCAACCACTGCATCATCAACGATCACGGAGTCCTGCGTGGAAAAGAAAAGTAAGATCCAGAGGGAAATCGTGGCATAAGACCCTTGACGCTAATCACGGTGCCATAGGGGAGGGTTCGCAAAAAGCTGCAAGGACTGCGTCTACCTTCACGAGATTGGCAACCTCGTCTGCCAGTGCGCATTTGGAAACCCAACCCAGTTCCGCGAGACCCATAGATACCTTGGTGAGTACAGCTATAAGAGCATGGAACCATGTAATGCCATGCCTATGCTCTTTCTGCTAACGCATGAAAATAGACCAGGATGTGTGGCTCTCTGGCAGTAAGCTAGGTTGCTTCGGAATGAAGTCTAGTAGCAAATGTTGAGTGGTGTTAGGTAGTCCGAGACACACGACCTTTGTGCTGATTCAGGAGAAACTATGCAAGGCTGGGGAGACTTCCATAAGGTAGCTATACAATACAATTACTTCATGGTCGTTGTTTGCGGTGAGCTTCGCACGTAGAAAGTGGTGAGTTCTCGGGGATTACCATCCGGAAGCCAATTAGAATGTGCTGCCCGTAGAATATGGTAGCCTTCAATGGAACATCGAAGAGTTAAATCGCCAAATCGGAACGGAAAGCAGACAGGCGGGTCAATTAAATGAAAATCCACTTAAACTTCAGGACTTTGACGCGCCGACGCGTTGACGAGATTCCAAGAAGACTGACCAGGGCATCGAAATTCTACTAAGCGAGCCGAGGGGTCATCATGCACTTAAACGATGGCTGCGAGGGCTCCACACAATGCGGCTACAAAAATCTGATCGTGCCTCTTTCTCTCCCTCAATCTTCCACCTTCATCCTCACGCTTTCTCCTTTCCTGCCTACTGCGGCACCTCAAAAGCAACCCCCCGAGCACATTTCGAGAAAGGCGCTGTTTGGTCCGCTTGAAAAAGCAGCCATGGGCGCGGTTCATCTCTACCTCATTCGCCACGGCGAATCCGTCGATAATGTCGCGAACCTCTAGTACGCATTTCCCACACCGACACAATACCACTTTTTGTGAGCCTGCCGGATTCTAGTCTGGGTCGCAGCTTTCTTTTTCGTCTCTTAGCGAAAAGTCAAACTTGTCACCCATTCTAACTAGCAGCGCGCTCTTTGTGGGCGTGGCGCGTGTTTGCAGTGCTGGGTCTCGCGACGCACCTTTGACGAACCATGGCGTCTTGCAAGCCAAGCGTCTGGGTGAACATCTCGCGACGCGAACCGCTGCGGCCTCGGCCCCCATCACGCATGTCTTTTCGTCGAATCTTCAAAGAGCCCACCGCACTGCGATGCTAGCAGCCCACACTGGCGATGCCGATACCCAGGCATCGTCTAGTACCGACGCTGGGTCCATACCCTCAACGGTTGGAGTGGCCCCGCTGCAGTTAGCAGAACTCCGGGAGAAACATTTTGGAACAGGCGAGGGTCAGAGGTTCAGCGCCCGGTCGTCTGGCGAGAGACATGAAGGCGCCGAAGACCACGACTCGATGCGCGTGCGTGCGGAGCGGTTCGTTGACGAGTACCTCGCTCCTCTCTTCGCTTGCGTCGAAGGAGAGCGAGATGAAGAGCAAGAGGGTGCCAGCAACGGTACGGAGAGCATCATCATTGTTGCCCATGGCATCATCCTGGGCGTGCTGGCGAGGGTTCTCCTTGCCGCTGGCAACTTTGGATCTTTGGCAACCGGCACGTCGGACCAGCAACAGCGTTTCTCGTGGAGCAACACCGGTTATCTCTTGTTTCACATCAAGTCGATGCCGGCAGTCGATGCGAAAGAGTCTGCTGGTCTGCGAAGCGGTACGCAGGAACCCAGATGGCCCCATCTGAAGCTTGAAATTGTGGAAGTCAACTGCACTGAACACCTTCGCGGTTTGAAAAAGACGCGCGGAGGGATTGGCAGCGCAAAATTTGACGAGAAGCAGAAGACGCTCAGCGCGTTCTTCAAACCGACTGCATCCAAACGGAAGCACGAGGACAGTTGAATGGACAGACTTAGCTACCCCATGAGAGTTTTACTCACCCGTCCTATCTTGGTCAATTAACAAATGGTATGTGTACAATTTTCATTTCGTCACCAACCCCTTCGAGGTGCGCTTTTCATGATGAGGCAAGAAATTCACAGACCTGTACCGAAAGTATACATGTGGAAACAACTTCAGTCCAACCGCTGTCTGACATACAAGCGCTATTCACCTCCATTTGTTACTGATCACTTTGAGGAGCCTTGGCTAACATCAAAAAGCCTTCACAGAGCACAAGACGCCCAAGGCGAAACCCCACACTTGAATCATCAAGAGCCTCTGCAGAGCAAAATACGCTCAGAGGAAACCAATCCATTTGAACCACGGCACTGCACCTACGAGTCTTGCGCTCGCTATTGTCGGTGGCCCTATGTCTTCTGGAGGCGGGATTCTGGTCTATCAGTCAGGCGCACCGAAGACACAGGGACGAAACAAACACATGTCAGAAGCCAAACTGTCTACAAGCAAAGCGGAACAAACGTCAGATGCACACTGCCTATAATCAAAGCGTAACATGACCATCGATGAGTGCTGGAGGGTTCGAACCCCTCATCCCGTGGCCAGGGGGGCCGGTACTCATCAGTCACCTCGGCGGCCTTTTCAACAAGGGCTTTGCTTCAGGGTGTAAATATTAAACTCTTTTCACGGGAATTATCACTTGTCTTCGAAGTTTCTGAGATACGTATTGGGCTTAATATTGATGCCGGTGGCGTAGGAGAGGAAGAGTTTTAAAGTCTAGATAGGTACTTCATGTCGAAAATGAATAGAAACAGAAGTAGTCAACGTAAGAAACCACTTTTATGGTCTTCATTATCAATTTGCATTGGGAGTTTGGCTCCATGAAGCCATATCTGTCGAAATAATGGAATGCTACCCCACGACTGTGAATGCCATGCCGATACAATCATCTAGTCATTATTCGTACAAAACAAACCACTCCTGTCCTATTCTTACCCTATACATCCGTACTCCATTCGTCCGTCTCCGTGAAGATCTTGTAGATCCTCTTACTGACAGCCTTCCCAATGGCCCGATCCGAAAAACCGCCATCCTTATTCGTACTCTTGCGGCAGTTCTCCAGACAAAGCGGCCCTCGCTCCTCAAACGCCTTGACCAGCTCCCCGACCGTCCCAAACTCGGACACGATGCCGTACGCCACGGGCTGCGTGACGCGCACAATCTCCTGCAGCATCCGCACGTAGGTATCTTTGACGTCCTCGCCCGTGCGGACCTGGCCTGTCTCCATGCAGAAGCCGGCGCCCGCGGCGTTGGTCGCCTCGCGCTGCTTCCGGTACGGCACCGTCGAGATGTGCTGCGTGAAGACTGCGACCCACTGCGCCGTCTCGACGGCCGCGGCGGTGTGATGGATCAGCACGTCGTACATGACCTGCAGCTGGAGCAGGGCGTCTTCGACCGAGTCTTCGTCAATGTACTCCTGCGGCTGCTGATTCTTGCGCCGCCGCGGTTGAGGGGCGGGAGCGGCCGCACTCGTCGAAGCCTGGGCATCTCCTACTGTTGTAGCATCTTCGCCGCGCACGGCAGATGCGAATTGTCGGTTCCGAATGTTGCGATTCTTTCTCATCCAAGGGTTGAGGCCTTCGATTAGATAGATGAGCTGTTCCTGTGGGAAATGTTGCTTCATCTTGGAGACGTGGGCCTCGAGGTTGTTACCCTCGGGTCCCAGGGCGTATGTGACAAATTCAGACGCAGTGACAATGACAAGCGCGAAGTTGTCTGGTTCAATGCGCATAGGAATCGGCTGCCAGTGCCCGAGCTCGTCGTTGAACCGACTCGCAACTTTTCTCCTCCACTTAACCACGTTGTCCACGGGACTCTCCCAGGTAGAGTGCTGCACGTCGAGGTCTTTTAACAATGTCTGTATTTGAAGCGTCATGGCCGGGGGCAGGCTAGCCGGGAGATCTGCAATCATTTCGGGGGTTGACACCTTCTTGTCGGTCCTGATCTTGTTGACCTCTGCCAGCGCAGCCGCTCGTTCCTTTTCCTTGGCCTTTTGCTCCTTGGCAGCATCTTTCTCTTGCTTCTTGCGTTCCTTTTCTCTTTCTCGTTCCGCAGCTTTCGCTTCTTTCTCTCTCGTCTTTTCTTCCACTGTTTTTGTCGTCGGTGCACGGCTGGTACTCGATTTCGAGGTGGCTTTCGATGGCGCCTTTGAGGTGGTTCGCGAAGCTGGCTTTTTCGTATACAATCGTGCTTTGAGTTTCGAAACATCAAAGTTATCGAGGTCTGGAAACTCTCCGTCCGAGTCGGCATCGAGACCGCGGGCTGCAGGCTCCGGCTCAGAGTCGCTGAGATTAATCACAGCGCTAGCGGCTTTGGTCATGGTCTTTCGCGGTGGAGGAGAGCTCTCAAATGGATCACTTCTGGTCTTTAGCTCGGGCGCAGAGCTCGAGATGGGGTCCCAATGAGCCTTTCGTCTGGGCGGTGAGACGGCCTTCTCTTTCCCCTTGACCGCAGTCCCAGCTAATGTTCTTGTATCTGGTGGTTTCATAGTCTCCGTCGGCGCTTGTCTCGGTGAGCTGGCAAATGGGTCGCCATCGTCATCGTCTAAAGTTATTGCACACGGCTGTGGTATCGTTTTCCGTGCCACAGGTGGCGAACTCGCAAAGGGGTCATCGGAGCTTAATTGGTAGTTTATGTGGCCGGTCCCGGTGGCTGTAGCATTCGTCAGGCGCGGGTTCTCGCATGCCGGCGCAGGCTGCGCTGAAGGCGGCAGTGCTGCGAACGGGTCATCGGAGTCAAGCCTATCCACCGCCGTTGAAGCAGCTGGAGCACTTGTCCTCGGTCGAGAGAAGACACCGGGAGAACTTGAGAATTCGATTGGTTCCACAACTGAACGTACTCGTCGCAAACCGTCACCCTGCTTCTCAGGCGGCCGGGTGTTGTGATTAGTGGCGGAATGGGAGCGGTCGAAGGAGGATCTGCGGCTGCGACGAGGAGGCGAGAGTCGTGGTCTTTTGCGCTCTCGTGGTTCGTTGTTCAACCTATTTTCAATTGGTAGGCTGCTTTCGAGATCGATAGTCGTATCAAAGTCGTCCGAGTTGAAGTAAATGGGCGTATTCACATGAACAATTTCCTCTCGTGCACGTTTTGTTGCTGAATTTGTCAATGACGGGGACGTCGCTTTCGGCAGTACGGACGGGACAATCTCTGGTGATTCGGCTGTTAAATCAAACACATCTTCATCGCCGTATGCCAGCGCCGTTACGACAGCTACAACAGCCGGTGGCGCAGGACGAGATAGTGGGGGTCTTGCGTTCGCAGAAGAGGGCCCCGAGGGGCTGCTGGAGAGAAGGTCGATCACTTCGGCAGGCATGGCTCTTAGCGATTTGAATCGTTCTTGGCCAGCCTGCGACTATGAGGCGTCGTGAATACGGTGGAGGGCACCTAGGGCATGTTGGAGATGCACCATCGACAGCATGAGATCTCGATGTCATCGACACAGATTCACGGCGCAAAGTCGCGTCTCGCCTTGCGCAGGTGGGGCATCGGGGCAATCGGACGGGTCAGCGCCGATGGTCCTAGCGCGAACCAGTCACGTAAGTCACGTGAGAATGACTGCCGTGCTTTGTCAGCGGCATCTTCGCAGCTGCTCCTCAACGCCAAATGCCAGATCAGACCCTGGATCATCTGCTTCAGACTCTCCCGCCTCCTAGATCCGCTAAATCGTTCCTCCACATGATCTCTAGCTTTAGTGAGCAATCTCTGTTCAAGAGGACTGTCTAGATTGGGTCTTTGCCCCGAATGCCATCTGATCCCCATCGGATGCAATACCCAGTATCCCACCGGCCCTCTCCCGTTGGCGTCCCCAAGCGACGTGGGATTGGTTATGCTGCATGCATAGAACAAGCTTCCAGTCTTCAGACTTCTCGAATTCGGTGTCGGTACGGAGTAATTCTGCTACGGAGACTTTCAACATCAGCTATACAGACGCGTATGAAGATTCAACCGCTTCGAGAATGCATGATCCCCCGTGCTGGCAGTGCACCACGTAGCATGCCGCACGATGGCCACTACCATAATCCACGATGAGGAGCGAATCCGACTGCGACTCGACGATCGAAACCTATGCTAGTATCATGCCACAATCCTCAAAAGACATGCGAAGCCGGGCGTACGATTCCTGTCAAGAGGTCCGACCGTCGAGGGGGTAGTGCAGGACGGCGGCCCGACGACTTGACAGGCTGATCGCCTTGCCGCGGGATTGAATGGCTGAACGATGGGTCACTGGGCTCCTTCTCCCACGTGTCGACGCATGAAACAACGGTTCAATTTCCCCAGTTAGCAGAGCCCCCGGACCGAGCCCTATCTCTACTTGAACAAGCCCCCGTCATGAGGAGAATCGTTCGTGCTCCCGTGTGAGAATAGGGTGCATTTTGTGTCCGTTCGGACAGCTATCTCATCACAGAGTGAGATGGGGTTCCCCCATACCCGAGCGAATTGGCGACGATATGGAATCCCACCTACAGAGGTCTAATCGCGCGCACGGCCGGCTAGGATGTCAATAGCCGAACCAAGAACTTGAAGGTTGTAGTTGAGCAGCAGGGGGTTCTGCCGAGACGAGGTGCCAGTCAATGGTAACTCAATCCTCCTTGCTGGTGCAGGATACTTGCGGGTGATGAATCCGCAAAGAGCCAAAAGCGCAGTAGAATATTCAAGATGCATCAGAGCTAGCATCTACGACCCTCGAGGTTGCAATGCGCCGACTTCGCTTCTTCTTGATGTAGGACTTCGTCCAGTGTTACCATTTCGGCGAATGAATATGTTCCAGAAGTTTCATGATGTGCCTCCTGCAACCCATGTAAGCATTCGCTCAATTCTCGTGTTTGCGATGCAAAGTGCGATAGTGCCATGAACAGGTGGCAACGATCTGAAAACCTATGGCCAATACGCAGCCATGTAGATTTTGTACTGTGGGCTTGACCTGGCCTTGAGGGCTGCGTCGATCATCAGGGGCAATCACAAGGGCAACTCTCTCCAGGCTACTATGGTGCTGAAACCAACGTCAATCTCTTCAAGATTGGCTTCGGCGCTTTGTAACAACGCAGAAGATGCTCAATTTGTACTTGAACGCCGTCAGAGTGTCCCACAAGCAGTTGTAACAAGCTCAGATTAGTAAGTTTTGTGGAAGTAGCGTTTCTTGCACATCCCTCTCACGCTTGAGTTCCCAGACCCGCGCATCGCGCGCTTTTTCGGCGAGGAACAGATCTGAAATCAGTCTGGCTTTAGTTTGGCACGTAATGGCCTCGCTCTTCGAAGTAGACCGATAGTAGTAGAAGCGATTATTTCTCCAGATGAGACAACGTTGATTCTATCTCAACGAAATACCCAAGTGGGGCTTGCCCACCGGCTTCGGTCCAGGCTCGCTAGAATCGAACAGCTCGGTGCGGCCCCGTTTAATCAGACCTGGAAGCATTTCATTACGGCGCCGAAGTGGATCGTCATCCGGAGCGATTTACGGAGAAGAGGTTTGATTCGCGGTACCAACATACCCATCGAGACATGATAAGGCAACACTCCACGAAGATTGGGTTTCTCGCTAGCGCTTATCAACCTACTTGAGTTGCGGTTAGTGATCCGGGTAAGGAGGAAAGTAAACCATTGAGTTTCGAATAACGGTCAAATTTAGTTTGGGACGGAAAGCTAGGAGCAACAATTTTGTTGTTGGTCAGCCGCCTCCTTCTCTCTCTTCCATAGTAAACAAGTCTGGCCTCGCTGTCAACTACCATTACAGTCCATGTCGCCTAGTGAGTTGCGCCGTATCAAAGGCTGACCCAGGAACTATTCGGCGAGAGAACAGTACGCATCTGAAAGATTGAGATGATGTCCGATGACCCGTCCATCCACGCGCCCCACACACAGAACCAGCAACCTTTCTCTTATAGCTTTTGTAGTCCATCAGCCCTTCGCCTGGGTATTTAGCCCAAGAATGATCTCAAGTTTGATGTCAAAGTGTAGGTCGCCGACCGCCTTATCACATAAGAATCGGCTGCCGGCCGTCGGGTTGGCTTGGCTCTAACACATTAATGGTGCTGTCGATCGTCAAAGCACACCGGGGCGGACGAAAGGGATTTGGGGTAAAATCGCGAACATCAGATGGAGATCACGCCTTACGCCGATGGTTTCTGTCCTCTCTACGCCGTAGACAGCTCTACTCCGGCGAGAGCGAGTCAGGGAAACCGACACCGAGGTCCTCGCATACCCCCTTGTTCTCCGCGTATCTGCGTCTTTGTGCATGCAAACAGCATCCAACTCTTGCAGACTTCGGCTGGCTAAACCATGGAGTGTTTCAACGATACCGATTTTCGAAACCTTAACCCGACTCATCGTTGTTAACCCTATTTAAAGACTAGACAAGTGGACGAAGCGCGTTCTTTGCTTTATAGGACGGGAGCAACCACACAATTACCATCCAGAGTCCGTCTACGCTCCACCCGGTCACATATACCATTTTGCTGCCCAATGGCTCCGAACTCCACCGGGCCCGAGATTCTTGGCCGCCCATATATGTATTGAGCAAAAGCGTCTCCTACGACCAACACGTTATTGAGAGCATCGTAGAGGAGAGGCTCTCGTCAAACACCATCGACCAAGGAACCCATGAATGGGGATCAGCGCTCTTTGCATTGCCGACACGATTCGGTCCGCTCCTCGCCCTCCATTTTTTCCCACCAACCCCAAACCGACATATTCGCAAGCGAGCGAACGGAACACATGATCTAGGAGCAAGAAAGCCACGAACTAAACGCACAAACCATGGCAGACAACATTAAAGGCGCCCTGGACCTCACCCGCCAGGAGGCAATGGCCATCGCCGCCCTCGCCACAGCAGGAATCTACAACGCCGTCGAAATCTACGTCCTCATCTTCAGCACCTTCCGCCAGCGCCGCGGCCGCTACTTCTGGAGCATGATCGTCGCCAACACGGGCATCTTTGTTCACGCCATCGTCTCGCTGATCCGCTACCTCAGTCGCGGCGAAACCGTCGTCCCGGGCGCGTTCGCGCTGATGGCTTGGTGCGCCATGGTGACAGGTCAGTCTGTCGTGCTGTGGTCGCGGTTGCACCTCGTCGTGTACAACCGCACGTCGATACGTCTCGTGCTGGCCATGATCGTCGCCAACGGGTGCGCGATACATATCCCCATGGCGGTGCTGTGGGTTCTGTGCTGGGCGACGCCGGCGGGGGAGCAGGGAGGTTGGATTGAGCGGTACGGCGTGTATGAAAAGGTGTCGATTGTGGTGTTTACGCTGCAGGAGACGTTCATCACGGGGATATTTGCGCGGCAAGGGTTTTTCAATCTGAAGCCTCTGTTTGCGTTTAAGACGCGGGCGGCCAAGCTGATATCGTGGTATTTGCTTGGTCTCTTCGTCCTCGTCTTCCTACTGGATGTTGGGCTTATCGTGCTCGAGTACACCAACAACTTTATGTTCCAGACGACAAGCAAGCCCCTGGTCTACAGTATCAAGCTCAAAGTCGAGTTCACGGTACTGAACAAGCTGCTCGCGTTTACAAAGATGAACTCGTGCGATTGCCACCATTTGGATGATACGCCGGGCGGGTACACAAAGGGTCTCATTACGCAGGACACCACAGGCACGACGAAGGGTTTGACGCCGGCACAGAGGGAGATGATGCAGGGTGGAGGGTCGATGGTGTCGCCCGAGCCGGATCGGCCGGATCACATATTTGACGGTACGAGGCCGGTGTCCGTTGAGGAGAGGACGTGACGTTTGGCGCGGCCAGTTTTACGGTAGCATTGTGTAATCCCCTGAAAATCTTCCAGAAACCACCTACAGCGAGTTAGATACCCCATTTTGAAGCAATTGGCTATCAGGTTTTACAAAAGCAAATTACTAAGATGATGAGAACCAGATCCTTTTTCATACATATCCCTCAATCTTCATTGCAGTTCAGTTTACGAGCACCGCCCGTCAATTGATCAGCGTGACACAACGCAGTGCTGCTGGCCTGTCGAGGGCTTATGGTTGACAAGGGTCTCTACTGTTATGACTCGTTTCGAGCGACTCGCCCGACTGCAAATAAGGTTGGCGATTGTGTCATTTGCACCAAAGCTTTCTTGTTTCTGCTGTCACCGAAGCAAACGCCGACCAAGGCACATCCATGGTCCCCTTGAACGCTGAAAACCGACATCAGCGTACGAACACAGGCGTGACAGGGTCATTTTTGGGGGTTCTTCCATCGTTCACTTAAATTGTATTGCGAACATATCTTGATTAAGATTCTCAACTTACCATATCGCCACAACCGTCACGAAGATAATGGAACTCTCTCATAGACATGGCGTTTTGCAATTACAAGACTTAGTGGCAAGTTCGCACTCATCGTCAAATCTTTGCCATTTTATTCATGTTCAAGAATTAGTACTGTCATGGTCCAAAACTTCAGAGAACGTACCTATCAATGCAAAGTCAAGTCGGGGATCTTGGATCAACCAATGAAGCAGAAATGCAAACACCATTGATAAACTAATAACGTGAGGGCATTTGTGAGATCGTCGCTCTTAGCAGGCTACAAGGACCAATTCAGGTACCAAAACTATTCCTAGCCTCCTTGGAGTCTAGTATCGCGACTTTCCCGCACGGAGTCTGAGCAATCAGACGACTTCAACAAGTACCGCTTGGAATACCTGGAGAGGAGCTATATCGCCGTTGCCAAATTGATGCCTTCCTTGTATGGGTCTTTAGAAGGCTTACATTTGTGACCTTAATCACTTAATGAAACGCGAATCTTCGTGATTTGGTTAACGATAAGAAAGACTTGTCAACCTCCTTAGGGATAAACACAATTGCCAACTTAGATTTAACCATTTATAGCAGTCGATCAAAACGCTTCCGATATAAATCTTGGATCAGATCAACTACAGCATTTTATCTGGCCAGTTGTTATATCCGGCTTCTGAAGGCAGCTGTCAAAGATAAGAGCAGGATAGATACTGATCTCATTATGCTGGCTCGCACAATGATGTGCGTAGGAAGTCACAAAGGGTTTGATACATTTATGAGGAGCAAAGGTAAGTCGACTCGTATCTTGTGGTCATGGGAAAACTGACTTGTGATCACACAGAAACTAGGTTACCAAAGTAAGAGAGGCTAGATATCGATTCATATGAGAGCCCTCAAGTCTTACCAAGGGTCATCGCAATAGCTTCTACAAAATAACCGATAATTCCATTCTCTACGCCGCCAACTCAAGTAGAAATCCAGGCCTGCTCCTTCACGAGGCCCCCCAGTCTTTATGTACTATAAGGTAGCATTCACTCGTTGCAACTTGCGACGGGGACTTATCCATACCTAAGACGACTAAAGTGAATAAACATAGTACAGAAAGGAGCAGCGAGCACCAAGGGTCCAAAGGATGAACAACCCTATCAAGAGCCAATTGTTAGCACACAGCCGGCCTTCATGACTCCCATTTGCAGGCGGCTGAGTATCACTGCAATGGCTGATTCAAAGCCCAAACGAAACTCTCAAGCTTTCTTAGCTTTCTTCGTGAAAAAATGGTGGCCTTGAATGGTAGAGGGATGGATAGCGAAGTGGAGATTCGATTCACCATGAATTGGACGGTCAACTTGTTGATGAACTTGGGCCTCGATCACGATTACGTATCACCTTGAATGTGATTTGGGTCGCAGAAAGGTGATTTCGATACTCATTACCGTTGATACATAATGCTCATGCAGGTATCATAAAGAAATCCTTCACGGAGCCTTCAAGACATGTTCAAACGTGATGACATGTCGACCCATTCGAAAGTATTATTGCGCAGATAAGATGTACCGTCAGAACGAGGAGACACTCCAATACCAGGAGCCGTAAGCAGAATGTCGTTGGAACTACATCTATCATCAGGTCTAGCATATTCTCCAGAATACATGCCAGGACAGCAGCATCTTCACCATCAAGGGCAAGACATCACGGCACCACAAAAGACGACTCTGACTTTTGACGGCGGACACATCTGCTGTTGGAATAAGACGATGAGCAAGGCGTTAGCTAGCTTCTTCGCTTACGTGTAAGAACCGGCCTGGTACCACTGCAAGCTGCAGATGCTACTGTTCCACGACCACCGTCGACGTGCCGTCATGGTACCGCCGTACTGCCGGCCTTGGCAACCAACCTCGACGGCAACAAAATAAGCCGGCAGCCGAGAGGGCGTTCCATCGGGATGACCTAGAATGAATTCAAACCGCCTTAATGCCTGTACAAGCCCGCTCGATAGAGAACGCTTTTGTAGACACGTACAGCCCAAGAAAGCCGTCCGTCACTGCATGCCATGCGGTATACAGCAGCTGCAGCGCCCAAATTATCAACGGGATGGGCAACGGGCAGTCGTCACTGCTTTGCGAACGGTGGCTCCACGGCCCGGAGAGGCGTGCGGTAATGAACCGGGAAAAGCAGAAATGACACGGAGGCGTCAGCTTGGGAACGGCAACGCTAACGACGTGGGCGGCGCATGGTGAAACACGATCTCAGCAAACTGCAGGTTTGTAGATAGAGTCGAAAACGGCGGGGCCCGATAGATTGAGGAGAAACTTGCCGCAAGCCACCCTGAACCCTGTTTGTTGTGCGCGAACATATAGCTAAGAAATGGGCACGCCAGTTCGTGAGCATCGCCACCCTCGCAACAAGTGGATGAGCGGGCGGATGAGATGGCTTGTGCTCGAGAAAAGGGTCCTGAGAACGGGGTACATGCAAGTACAATGTCTCACAGAATATTTGGCAAGCCGATCTGATTATCACCTTAGTCTTGCCTCGAGTGCCCCGGGGAAGTTTTCAGAATGTCATCGACTTGTGCGATCGAGGAAACTTGGCTTTGATGAAAGGAGATATGCTTTTGCGATTTGTAAATGCCGAGACAGCGATTGGGGGGCGGGATTGAATTGCAACGCTTCCGCGATGCCAAAGGTTTTGAATGGCGATAAGAGAATATGCACTATATACCCCAAGATAGGGATGAACGCTGGTATAAGCGCTGCGCACGCGGGTTCGTTGTGATAATCAAACATGAGTATCGCAGGGTTCAGGGACGAAGCCTATTGACCTGCGGGGATCGTCTGCGCGGAAGTCACACGAACCGATGAGGAGCATGTCGAGATGCGAGACGTTGGAGCACATGTGTTCTAGAACCCATTTGACATCGAATTTTGGATCGCATCAGTCTGAAAAGGGCTGGGACATGCAGCGCGAGGCATGGGCAGAAGAGTTATTGGGTTTCACAGCCAGAGTAGTGATGGGTAGCCCAATTCCCAGGATCTGCCAGCAGCCAGTGGACTGCCCTTCATTTCGGAATCGATTATCTGCAATTCGAGACATTTCTGTAGAGAAGAAACGGCCTGTTGCTCGCCCGCCTTCCCGTCCAGGCGACATGGGATGATGGGATCGGCGAACGAGCGAAACCCCTATTTCTTGCGTTTGACCCCGGAGAAATCCAAGAAAAATCTGTGAGCGCACGGTCGATTGCGAATGGGTTTTAAGTTTTGGATGGCTGCAAGTCGCGCTATGGAGGGGTTGGATTGATTGTATGCACGTTTGCCAGCTTTTCGAAAGGGCCTGGTGGCCTTGCGATGTCAGTGTCGCTCCGCAGCAGGGGAAGACAGGACGACGATGTCGGTAGGCTGAGACGGCGCGTTGGTACGACGCATAAGGTTTGGGGTGGGATTAGCGGGACGGACGATCAATGCCTAGAGACGGGAGGTGATTTGGTCGGATTCGGCCTGTTCATCTCGAGGATTTGCAGGTGCCCTCACAAACGTCTGAGGGCTCCAGAGTCTAGAGGGTCATGTTCGTACATCGTGGAACTGTTGCTGAACGCGTAATGATTCACAGACGTCATGGTGCGGAGGGCCAGAGATCCAATCGTGGGAGGCGGCGTGAAGTACCAGTAATGTACTAGTAAGACTGAGACCTCGTACCGGCTGGCTCGGGACGTTGACCTAGAGGCTCAAAGCCCGCTCCATGGCGTCCATTCCTAGTGAGCGTGAAGCAAAAGAAGGTTCCGATTTTCGACCCGAGCCTTGCTATAGAGGCATTGGATGGCTTTGATGCCTCGTAGTGTTTTTGATCTTCACGCCCGCGGTCTCGATCGTGAACATGTCTAGTTAGCTCATCTGCACTATAGCGGCTGTTCATTGCGTCCCCTAGGGTACGAAAACGCAAACAGTGCTCCGTTTTGCGCCGACTTCTCTTGTTGATCTGCCTTTGCGGAAGAGGGAGCAGTGTTAAACAAGGACGGAAAGCGGATGGACTGGTGCAGAGCTGTCACGTATCAGAAACCGGCGGGACTGGCAGGCCTCGGTCGGAAGTATATTTTCTGCCGGCCTCTCGGGCCATGACCTGGATGCGTTCCCATTGGGTGTGCGATATGTGTCCGGTTGGTACTGGTGAGAAGACGTCCAAAGTGAGAGGGCTTTTCCCAGGATCGTGCACCGTAGTGGCCGTTGTGTGTCGTGCGGAAGGGCCGCTAGGGCAAGCAAGCGTCTTCCAAGTCTCTTGAATCAGCCAATCCTCAAGTTTGAAGAGGCACTTGCGCGTGTGCTGTGGTCTGGGTTCGCGTGAACCGTGGATGCCGGCTAGATGGCGCAGAAGAAAAAGCAATGCGCTTCTTGTTGGTGCAGAAATCTTTCGATTGTTCGCAATCAACTGCAGGCGGACGGGGCGAAAGATCCATGGTTGATGGAAACCTCCCCCCACGGATGACCCGTCGTCGCCTTGGGCCTATCTTTTGGGGGTTCAGATTTGACCTCTGCAGAGCAATCTTTGCAAGAAACAAGAACCATGGCACCGGAGGTCTCTTGTCACGACATCTCAGACTGAAGTGTTCTCTAGCCGATCCTGTTCCTCGGACAAGTCAGAAAATCTCCATGTCTTTGCGGATACGGATACCGAGGGCATGGGACGTGGAGGATCCGAAGAGGTTTCCGGATAAGGGTTCCAGAAAGAGAACGAGGCGACCCGAAGTACCGGTACAAGGGTGGACAGTGTTGCTCTGTTGTTTCACTCAAGTTATTGCTTGTTTTTTCTTCGCAGAGCAGCGATTCGTACTTGTCGCTGCAACGGTTGTGGTCGAAGGGGGCCGAACACACAATCAATCCACTGGTGACTGGGTGGGTGGAGGAGGTGCCGTGTCAATGTCACATTGAGCGTCTTAGAAATCGGGTGTTTTTTTCCACTGGTTTTTTTTCTCTCTGTCTCTTTGAGAGGCGCTGGTCCCTGCGTCAGGTGTGGAGGCCACACGGTTCATGTACGGATACCTTATCCCGTGCCTTTGAGGAGTGCCAGTTAAGGTACCTTCCTTCAAGATGTGTGGGGGCGTACCTACAGGTACTCTTTACCTTACCTACTGAGTACATAGGTATTTAGGCACATACGCAGTAGGTAGTGGAAGGTGCGGAGTACCTAGGTCTGCCTCACTTTCCGGAATGGTTGTGTCTTAAATGCTCCGTACCTACCTTAAGTCTGCTGCGGAAGGGAAGAGGTACCTTGTGCCTTGCAGACAGGTGGGCAATTTGAAGTTGGTTCCTGCCTCCAAGATCCAGTCTCGCGTGGTGCCTTCCTGCATTGCTGCCCGCCCTGGACCGGTCGATTTGGTGCTTCGTTGTCGATTGGCAGTCGCGCTCTTGCCTCCCGTCTTGTGCAGCAGACCAAGCAGCCCTCCACGTCCCTCCTACTCGTTTCTTAACAGACCACAAACGAAGATAACTGGGGTTTGAGATGACTAGGGCCTGATCAGGCAAGGCGTCTTTCTAAAGTGCCCCGCTTGGCATCCCCCCGGCCCACCCCTGGTCTGAATGTCGGGTCTAAGTGGCTTGGCCACTTCCGCTCGGTCGCTGCCCCACCTTTCGCTTCCTTCCCCTTCTGCACTTTCTTTCCTTTCGCTGTGTATCGCTTTTCGTTGGATGGAAAATGGTGGTGGTTTTTGAAGCTATCGAGACAAGGTAGCGAATAAACGGCATTCCACATCATTTACACAATAATTGGCATCACGACCGGGCTTGCAGTCGTCGACGTCGGTGGCCTCTAGCTCTCACAAGCGGAAAGAAGAAAGAAAAGGCCAGCAGCCGTACACTGGCACGACTGGATCAAAGCTCTGCTACGGAATGCAGTCAAAAAAAAGGGAAGCCCGGGATAACACGGCCCTCTCATCAGTGGATGGACCATCCCATCTTATCCTGCCCATTCCATGATCCATCCAATCCCCTGTCCTGGACCCTGGCTTTGTATCGCTAGAGTCAGGGCCGGACTCTCTGCCGTTGTCTCTCTGGATATTGCAGCTGGAGATAGGTCTTGCCAATAGTGATGGCCTCTCGATAATTAAGCACTTAAGCTAAGGTCGACAGCAATAAGACCGGCATAGACTGGGACTGGGACGAGCGGTCTAGAGAATTTCAACGTCCTTTGCCGAGTCTTATTTATTCTTCTATTCATGATACGAGGTACTAGGTAATTAGGTAACTTGTCATTGTTTAATGGCAATGCGAGGTGACGAGTTTGGGGGAACTAGACGAGGAACTCATTGTTTGTGCCTCTGCTCCTGCCACTCAATGCTCCCATTCATTGCTCTTTCCGCGCCAAAACCTCCCATTCCGCGAGGTGCTCCTGGCACGTCCAAAGTACTTTACGGAGTACAATTGGCAAGAAGGAACGTCAATCACTCAGCCGTTTCGTTCTTTCCTCTTTTCCTTCATTCCACCCGTGATTACAGGTACGAATAACTTCTTCCTGTCTACCGCCTCCCTTCCTTCTGTGACTCGTGGACTAAGGTATTCATCTTTCGCCATTTTTGCTCTTTTCCCCCTCACCATTCTCCTGCAGTCCTCCTCCTTTCCGACTACATACATCCTCTTTCCCCCACAACCCACCTGGCAGGCAGTCATCCGGTCGGATATCGCGACTCAGAAGCGGTCCATACCTGTCACGACGATCCGCCGGGGATTATTTCGCACTCGACCTGATTCAGTCCAGAAGCAGCAACAGACAGGAGTCCCCCAAGTCGGCCCCCCTTGAGCCCTTCTGCTGCCATTCCCGAATCGGCCCAGGAGACATTCGACTGTGAGAACGGGCGCATCCGTCACATCTCGCGCCACCCAATCACAGCACACCATCGACGCGCTCCTAATTTGCGAGACATCCACACCACACCCCCGGCCTGTCTGCTGCGTTCTACTTTCTGCTGCCAGCCTGGGTACGGAGTACCTACCACAGTGCCACCTTTTCGACTCTGTCGACACTTCTTTCGCCTCTGGAGAATAAACACGACTGACGGTTGGGTTCCCCTGTTCCTTCTCTCGACCTCTCCTCTAGGTACCTTACTCTCCCACCCCTGGCCCTCGCCAGTCTAACCATTCCCAGGTCCCAGTCCGGCCCAGCCCAGTGTGAGGTTTCTGCCACAAGGAGGCGGACTCGGCACAGAAGAGCAGTCCACCGCAGCATTGCGAACCCCCAATCCCAATTCGCCGTCTACCTGAGTAGCTTGTCCACGCATGCCCCCTCCACACTACTCGGCCAGCAGAACCCGCAACAAAACACTCCAACATCCCGGGCTACCCTTTCCTACGAATATCTCCAACAATCTCGCGCGCGTCCCAAGCAACGCCAGACAACGCATTGCTCCCGCAACGCAACACGACGACGGGCTCCCAGAGAGCCATAGGCGACCCGTCCTTGCTGTTGCTTGTTTTCATTTGGCTTCCTCGACATTTCGACACGATACTCGGTACCATATGACGCCTTTGTTCTTTCACTTCCACCGAGCTGCTGTTGTTGCGCTGCCGCTTTTGTGGTGAATCCGAAAAAAAAAGAGTAGCCTTCCATCACTCCTTCACAGCCAACACAAAATACACAATCCGCCGCCCCACGATAGCATAAGAAGTAGTGCACCGGAAACAGCTTCTCTTCCCCTCTACGGACAGATAGGACCCTCCACACGCTCGCGCAATCCGTCACCCGTCGATTCGATCACACTTTTGAGACAACGGCACAACTGCACCAGATACCGAACAGTGCTTCATACCCTCCGCATACAGGGTTCGAGCCTGGGGATCAGGACTGCACAATCCCGACACCCCGTTCGTTCTACTTTGCCTTGCGCGCGATTAACCTTATACAAGGAGGAACGCATTCCGCTCGCGCACCCAATCCGAGAAACCCCTTCCTCTCTTTCGCTTTCCCATCATGGCCAGCTCACCGCCGGCCTCCCCTGGGAATCATCTGCCCCAAAGACCGCTGAGCGCAATGGTGCGACCATCACCACGGAGCAACAGCCGTCTGAGCATGACGAGCAAACATGGCGGTGGCAGCAAAGCCTCCGACGAAGACTCCCGGACGGCCGTCAAAGTCGGTAAGTGTGCCAGTTCCCATCTCCGGTGCTGTTCGTCACTTGTCTGAACATTGCGCGGCACCTCCCCTTTCATGCCGGCGTATCATCACACCACTAACCTCGTTCCTTTTCTACGTAGCCGTGCGTGTTCGACCGCCTCTGAAACCCACAGATCCAGGCTACGAATTAATTCCTCAACGATTTCAAAGATCCATGGCTCAGGTGACATCGAACACGAGCTTGGCAATCGACTCACCACAAGGAAGGAAACTCTTCGTATTTGATCGCGTTTTTGGCTCCGACGTTGAACAAGAAGGCATTTGGGACTACTTGCAGGATTGCGTCGGCGCTTTCATCCAGGGCTACAATGTGTCGCTGTTGGCGTATGGCCAGTCTGGCGCGGGAAAGTCGTACACGATGGGTACATCAGGTCCTATCGATCAGGACGACCTCGAGGTGATGGGTTAGTTACACTGCGTCGTGTTACCGTGCTACTCGGTTATCTGCGAAGCTCTCCGGCTTCTACAAACCCCCAAGCTGACCTTGTTCTTAGGCGTTATCCCCCGAGCGGCGACGGCTTTGTTCGAAAAGCTCGACGGCTCGAAGAAGCAAGCGAATCGTGGCTCCATGTCTCAGCTGAGAGCACCACACAGATACTCCGCCCAACCAACATCGACCTCAGCAGCGGACAGGACATGGTCTTTGAAAGCAACATACCTCGAAATCTACAACGAGCAATTGCGCGATCTGCTTCTTCCTGACCACGTTCCACAACACGAGCGTGGCAACGTCACAATCCGCGAAGATGTCAAGGGGAACATTATCCTTACCGGCCTGCGACAGGTTGAAATTAACTCAGTGGAGGACCTCATGAATGCATTGAATTTCGGCTCAACCCTCCGACAGACAGATGCGACGGCCATTAACGCCAGGTCTTCCCGGTCCCACGCCGTGTTCAGTCTCAACTTGGTGCAGCGGAAGAGCGGCCTGCAGGGCTCAAATGGGGCCGAAAAGCGTTTCTCCGTGCCCATCGAAGCTATGACGGGATCCGAGACCTGGGTTACCACAGACAGCAAGCTCCATTTTGTCGACCTGGCAGGTAGTGAGCGGCTGAAGAACACTGGCGCACAGGGCGAGCGTGCCAAGGAAGGTATTTCTATCAACGCTGGCCTGGCTGCGCTCGGAAAGGTCATTTCACAGCTCTCATCACGACAGGCCGGGTCACACGTCTCTTATCGCGACTCCAAACTCACCCGTCTACTCCAAGACTCGCTCGGTGGAAATGCCATCACGTACATGATTGCCTGCGTGACGCCTGCCGAGTTCCATCTCAGCGAAACATTAAACACCGTCCAATATGCACAGAGGGCCCGAGCCATCCAAAGTAAGCCACGGATTCAGCAGGTGGAGGAGGGTGACAAACAGGCCATCATTGATCGTCTGAAGGCGGAGGTTGCCTTCCTGCGCGAGCAAGTCCGCAGCGCGGAGCGAGGCGGGGGCGAGAGGCGCATCGCCTCCACGGGCGAGCGGTCTGAGCGACAAAATGAGCGTGAAAGCGAACTGCAAAATCAGCTTCTGGACGTCCAAGAAAACTACACGACCCTGAGTCAACGTCACGCGAAGCTTATTGCTGAGATGGCTAAGGCCCGCGACAACGAAGCTGCCGAGAACAATCAACACGAGGAGTCCATGGGTGACACGGCTACAGAGAGACTGAATCGGTCAAACTCATTCGCTGCTGCAGTCGAGCAAGTCGTGCTCGAGTACGAGAAGACCATTCAAACTCTGGAGCAATCGCTATCCAGCACGCGCGGCACACTCGCCAATACCGAGGCAAATCTGCTAGAAAAAGAGACCAAGTGCACGTACATTGAGACCATCAACACACAGCTACAGGCGCGTTTGCAAAAACTCATGGATCGGGAAGCGAGTACGGAAAATTACCTCCACGACCTGGAGAACAAGCTGGACGGCCACACCTCTGGGGAGGAAAAGAACACGACGATTATTGTGGAACTTCGCAAGGAGATCTCGCGGATCAGAGAGAACGAAGCCTCTTGCGAGGACTACATTTCTACCTTGGAGGAGCGACTCGCCGAGGCCGACCAGGATGCCGAGCTGATGCAGCGTGAAATTGATCGACTAGAGCAGGTGATTGAGCGCCAGCGAAGTCTCGGAAAGCTGGACTCTCTGCTTCACGAGCTGGACCACATTCAAGGCGATAGCAAAGTTCCAGAGCCAACTGCCGAAGCATCGAACGGCGTTACGCGCCAAATTGCTGACCACACTCGTAGCCAGTCTCAGTCGCGTGTTATCCGCATGAGCCAAAATGATATCATTCCTGAGCATGCCGAAGAAGAAGCCGCGGCGGCAGCTGAGGCAACAGGTCCCGCTCAAAACGGCGATCACATCGAAAATGGCACCAATGTTGTGACACCTGATGCGAAGGAGAACCTTCAGGCTGATATCAACGACTACCCACCTCACAGCCCTGCTCAGTCCAAATTTGTGCACGACAAGCTGGAGAACGTCACTCAGGAGCTCATCGACTTAAGGGTAGAGCATGAGACCACGGTCAACGAATACGACCTTCTGCACTGCAAGTACGAGGAAGCCCTACGCACTTTGGCAGAGCTTCAGGACACTATCGACGAGTCTCGCCACCCCGAACGCAAGGTCCGAGATTCTATGATGTCTGTCACTTCTCCCACCCTGACTCGACCACCCTCGTTCTTCTCCGACGCCAGGTCGAGTGATCTCAAAGACGGCGGCCAATTTTCATCACGCTCTCTTTCATCGGAGCTTTCGTCGGCGTTGGAGTCGCCTGCCACCATTGATCCGTCTGATGCCGAGACATCAGTGACTGCAAAGCCCGAGTCGGGTCCCGAACATTTGTCAACGGAGGATCTCATGCACCAGGATCTCCTGGCGACGGAGGTTGAGAGGTTTAAGACTCTTGCTGCCGAGAAGGAGGATGCAGAGAAGGAGCTGGCCGAGAAATACACACAGCTTGAACAGAAGCACCACGAAGCCCTGGATATGCTGGAGGAGCTGAAGACCGAAGTTGCCCAAGCAAAGGCATTGGAGGCGTCGTCGCCACGAACTGGCCAACCCGTCATTCGCCGCAAATCCAGCCAAAATGTTATGATTATCGACCGCGCTCATCGATCTTTTGCGTCGCTCCGCAACATTGCCGCAGACAACTTCGAAGGCCAGCCTGATGTTATGCAAAACTTCGAGCTTAACCTCAACGCAGCCATGCACGAGCTGCATGCTCGATCGGAGCGCATTCAGGAGCTCGAGGCTGACATTGCGTCCGCCAAGAAAGAGATGGAGACTAAGATGGCTCTGATTTCTGGGCTCACTCGTGAGCGATCTAGTTTGCAGGCGTCTCCGATGGACATGTCGATGATCTCCACCCTGAAGAACCAACTCGAGGCCAACGAGAAGCAGATGGCAGAAATGAGAGAAAATCATGAAGCCACCGAGAAGAAGCTTATGGCCGAGCTCGAAACATTGCGCACTGCTGTGAGGGATGCTCCTGCTGTGGGTGAAGCCCCTGAAGGTACTACCGAGACCGTGGTTGCGACCGCCGCGGCCGGCGCCGTTGCCGACATCCCCATGGCATCGACCGAGATGACCAACACCGAAACGAGATCTTTGCAGACCACAGAGGAGAACGACAAGAAGATCACCGAATTACAAGCCGAACTCACGGCATGGGAGACGAAGCACCAGACTGCCCTCAACACCTTACAAGAGACGGAGACGAGGATGAAGAGGACCATCGAAGAGCTCGAATCTGAAATTGTAGCGCTGAACACGCAGGCCTCCGCGCACTCCACTGCTCGGAGTGCTGAGGAAGTCAAGGAAATCGAGGAGAAGCACAAGACGCTGGTCAAGTCACTTCGCGACGAGATTGACGAGCACAAGGTTGCCATCACCACCAACTCTAGCAAGGTATCCGAACTGGAAGCAGCGCATGCTGCCACCAAGACGGAGCTGGAGGACGTTATCAGGGCACGTAACTTGCATGAGACACAGGCGAAGACGCAGCAGAGCCTCATTACGAACCTGGAGAACCAGATTACAGCCCACGAACAGGCTCTCAAGACACACCAGGATGGTATGAAGCTGCTTCAGGAGAATCACGCAAAGGAGCTAGAGGAGATGAAGCAGATGGAGCAGAAGGGGTACGAGGAGCAAGTCGCAGTCCTACTCAATGAGCATGCGGAAAATGTCAGGGCCCTCGAATGCGAGCTTAATGACGCCCGGGAAGATCTCATGAAGGTCGCTACCCAAGTTGCATTCGCTCTTGGTCTCGACGTCAGCATCGAGAAGATCACAGAGCGTATCGACGACTTGATTGCCGACCAGAAGGCCTTGGGCGAGGAGCAGAAGAAATCGAGCGCAGCTGAGAAGCAGGTTGCCGAGTTGTCGACCGTTAACGACAACCTGGTCAAGGAACTTGAGCAGGCCAAATCGACGCTGACCGATCTCCTTACTGCGGAGGGTGAGCCCCTGAGAAGCCCTGCTCCTCTCCCCGATCAGCTGTCTGCTATTCGTAAGAAGATTTCAGACCTGCAGAGCCGGAACAAGAAGAACTCTCGCCTTGTGGAGGAGCTCGAGGATCAGCTACAGAGCAACTTTGATCAGGTCCAGATAACCAACAACCGCCTGTCCACGCTGCAGACAGAGCGCAACTCGCAGATTGAGGAAGCTCAGGCTGCCAAGTTCAAGGCTGAAAGCGAGCTTGATTCACTCAAGGCCGAATACGCGGCCCTCCAGGTATGTGCCATTCAAGTAGCTCGTTCTGTTTCAACTGCTAATGTAGTACAGGCCAAGATTGACGAAGCGTCCGCTTCTGGCCAAGTCCAACGATCCAACTCGATTAGCTCGCCGCTGCGGAAGAGCGCCTCTGTTGCATCTCTGCCCTCTCCACCGCCGGCCATTCCCTTGCCGCCGCTGCCCGGCGCGTCGTCCGGCCCCAACGGCACGGTGCCAAGCACACCCACTCAAGCAGGCCGACCAGGCAGCAAAGACAACATGGGCCCTGTCAACCAAATTCAAGAAGACCAGGAGGCTCGCATCCGCACCATCGAGAAGCATCTTCAGGCCGAGAAGCAACTCACTCAGACTCTGGAGGAGGCACTCACCGACCTCGAGCGCCAGTCGAACAAGGTCAAGGCCGACAGTGATGCTTGGCGCAAGCGCTGCGTGGAGTTGGAGTCCGAGGTCAAGGAGCTCAAGGACCGTCCCGCGCCTACGCCGCAAGCCGACAACCGCTGGAGCTTGCACGCCGTTGAGGAGGAGCGCAAGAAGCGCCAGGCAGCCGAGGCACAGCAGCGTCTTCTTGAAGAGCGCATGAATGCACTGTCCAAGAAGAAGAAGAAGGGTTCCCTCAACTGCTTCTAGTTGAAGCCTTGTTGCTGGAACCTCGCATCTCGGAGGGACCGAGTCCGACTGGATTGACCTGTCTCGCATTATGGACATCGATTGGGCCGGGTTTTTGATTGTTTTTTTTTCGGCGTGACAGGGCGTTTTCTTGATTTTCGTTTTTGCCGTTTACACTACCCCTCGCACCATATTGTATTTTGCGTTTGCGGCATTTTTCATGCTGGCCGACGATGATTCCCCTTACGCATGGCGAAACCCAGAAAGATTGGGCAGGAGTTTCTCATACTGGTGGCTCGTACGTGCTTTTCCTGCTGGGAGGGTATTGACGATGGACCACTCCTCTTTTTCAATACCACTACGCGACTTCGCTCATACGATATGCACCATCCAACCCTTCACTTCTCTTTGTTTCTATTCTAATTATTTCTCTTACATAACATTTTGTTTTTACGAATAGCAAGACCGACGTCGTGCACTAATGACGGCACGAGGGAAGGATGATGGCGGATGGGATGGTGATGGGTTGGAGACGGACCGGTTGCGTTTGGTGGCGGTCTCTCGAGGTGTTTGCGAGGCCGGGCTGGCTGCCTTTGGCTGCCTGATTACTCAAAGATGGTCCTGAGAGACACGACGAGGGGGTATTAGACACCTTGGCTAATGCTAGTTTTTGGCGCCCGCTAGAATGCCGTCGGTTGAATAAAAGTGGCTTGGAAGTTCACTCGTACTCCACGTGTCGCGCCTCGTGCCGCGCCTTTGCATTGACGATTAAAAAGACAGGTCCGTCCGCTTTGTGACCTTTCGGACACTTTCGGTGTTGAGACACGTCTGATTCAGGATCTTGACTGTATCTGCCTTCATTCTTCTTCAGAGGGGAGAACATCGGGAAACCAGCCGTAGGAACTAAAGTCGACCGTGAACTCGCCCAATGCCGTCCGCGAGACCTCGACGTCCTCGGCTTGTAGCGCTTCGGCTTGGTTTCGAGCACCTGACGGCTGGGAGCTAATGAGAGATGTGATGTTAGATGCGTTATGTGCGTAAGTGAGCGTGAGTGTGATGGTGCGAAAACGGGTTGTGGGAGTGGGTGGTGAGGTGGATGTACCGTGGCGAAATGGTTCCTTTGGCGTTGATGACGCGCTGCCATGGGACGTTTTCGTTGTTGAAGCGGGATGCTGGGTCTGTGGGGAGGTGTTTGAGGCAGATGCCTACTTGACGGGGCCGTTCGGCTTTGAGAGTTGTTAGTTGTTGCCTGATAGATTTTCTACATGAATGTCGCGTATAGTGCATGAATCGTGAGAGGGATGAAATTTGATGAATGGGGTTCCGGGTGAAGAGAGGGGGAGAGTGCAGGGGCGGAGTGAGGGGAGGAAGGACTCACGGGTTCCGACGAGTCTGGCGATGTGGCCGTAGGTTGTGACTTTGCCGACGGGGATTTCTTGCACTGCGGTGTAGACTGCGTGGAAGAAGGCTTCTGCTTCTTCTGTGCGTGCCATGGTTCTGAAAGATTGCTGATGGATTGTGAAGATTGGGAGGTTGGTGGTGAGAATCGGAGTGGTGATGAGACGAATGTGGACGATTTGGTGAAGATTGGTTTGGTGTTGTGCTGGACGTGAAGTCACTACTAACAATTATGCCCAGGTTAGCGCGGGAATGCATTGGCCTGATTGGGCAGGAGATGGATGCACTTTTGTTGCTACTTCACCTCACCTCTGCAAGCGCTCCGCAGATTAAAGTAGGTAGCAGGCGCATCACTTACTCTTCCTCCTAGATCAATAAGAATGATTGTGGTTTTCGAAATTGAATTTCATAGCCCATGGACTATATCTCCATGTTATTTTAAGAAATACCCTCGGTGATTACCTTCATCTTCTTGGTGTCTCGTGGTGTTGGTTCCTCCCAGCGACGACGTGCACCGCCGGCCAATTACATGATCCCCTGAGACGCAGCAAGATGTATGGGCAGAGCCTCCTGCCATCACTCAGCCCAGCTCAGCCTGCTTCTACATACCTACATTACCCCTCTTTTTAATATCTGATGGTTAAAATCACCAAACTTTGCCAACGGTTAATCAACCCGTCACATTTCATATGAGCCAAAAGCTCTACATCTGGTAAGCAGTCTTCCAATCTTCTGCTTGTATAGTAGCTAACCCCCCAATCACCAGGCTTCGAGGACAGCGACCGGAAACACCACACCATACGACGGCCAATCATGTCCGATCAAGTAGGCTTCAGCTTCCAAGCCGACGTCGTGAATACGGCCTCCCTAGGACATGTCTTGACCGGGCGACTTCTCAAGGCCCTCAGTGACGGAGGTGTCGATACGTATGCTATGTGGGCTGCCGTTCAGCTGGGAAAACGTGTACCGGTTCAAACTTCGCACCAGAGCTCATTGTACGCCCACATCATGTCGAAGAAAACATATCAATCAGTTCTGTCGAAGGCACTCAGCATCGGCTGGGGTCATTCGGCACCTGTAGCGGATCTAGCTCGAACTGTTGCTGGGACGAATGCCATCATTCTGATCGGCGCTCTTGGAACGGGCTGCCAAGCTTTTGCGGCCGCCCAGTGTCTATCCGAGGTGATGGCAATCTACGGACTCGAGGCTGATATGCGGCCGAGCGTCGATGTGCTCAAGGGTTTGGTCAATTACCTAGCCCCATTCACCCAGGATCTCGGCTTCTCAAAGGTTCTCCAGCACATCACAATTCTTGCGGAAAGAGTTATCAGGCACGAGAACAGAAGAATCGGGGTTGATAACTCTGAAAGAATTGGCGATCTACTCATGCGACTGAAAGACTTGGGTGGCGCGGCTGCCCTGGCTAGGGCCATCAAACAATTGATTCACACAGCTCAGAAGGACCAAAGAGACTATATGACACTGAAGACGCGCGGATCATGGCTACCGGCCTTCGCTAGCCATATACTTGGCATGTCTGTAGAGGTTCGTCTCAACCAAACAGTCGTTTGGGCCAGTGGAGGTGATCATGGGCATATTCTCTTCCAACTTGATGACGAGGCTACCGTTCAGCCCACGCTCCCTCTAATCTCACAGGTCGATGGGGTGGTCGCCCGTGTGAAACAAGACTACGAAGAAGGAAGCCTCGGGTCACATTTGAAACTTGACTATCCCATCGGAGAGGCCCTCGAGGCGCAGTTTCTCAAAAGACCTGAAATTGACGACGGCGTTGCTGAATCCATCCGAGTTGGGATAAACAATCTCTCCCACTGGCTCTTGAGGAAATTGAAACATAGTCATCCAGATGATTCTGTCAATTTGATCAATGGCCTTGTTGATGGCGTGAGGGCATTGGAGGACGCTTTGCATAAGATGGGTATTCACGTCGACTCTAACCAGCAAGTGGCTCCGAAGTGGCCCAAATGTTTCGCAGAATATAGCACAGCATTTGACTCAATGAAGGAAGAGATGAGTCTCTATTTTCTTGATCTCAAGGCTGCGCAGACACTAGCAAATTCCTGCCCGGTGGACCACAGGAAGAACGACTCGAACTATCATATGCTCCAGGAACTTGAAGACAGAAGCTCCGACTCCTGCCCTTGTCGGGTAGTTGGGAGGCTGATGCACGGCTTTGCGACCACGGCTCTAGCACTCATGTTCTGCAATTTTGATACCGCCGAAGTACGAGTACAAGATGCAGTCATTGCAGGAGAAGTTGAGACCGATTTGAGCAGACATCTGATTTTAGACCATGCTACACTTCTAGAAAACATGGAGGAAATGGAAGACATAGGGTTCAGCAGAGGGTTCGACAGAAGGTTCGACAGAGGGTTCGACAGACGCTTCAGAGTGTCGCATAAAGACGTACTCTGTTTCCTAGGGGAGCTGATTTGCTGTGATTACACGTCCCACTGGTTCGATGGCGCTGCCATAGAAGGACCTAAAGGAGAAGCAAAAGAAATTTTGGTTGTTTCGGGAAGAGATTTCACCATCAATTACAAGTGTGTAATGGAAAATGAGTGTTTCGACGAATGTGGCAGAACCCTGCGCATTCAGTCCGGCCGGGCATCAGTGGCTGGAGCCTTTCGCAACATCGTCGTGGAAGACACGGTCATAGACCCACACAACGTCTTAGGTCATAACGAGACCACCGATTTTGTCTCCTTGGCCGGGAGGACCACGCTAGAACCTTGTCACAGACCACCGGAAACTGGGATCACCATAGACGCCTCCATTCAAGAGAATGCCATCGCCGTTCGACTGAACTTAGCCGGAAAGGCGCCAAGGCCAGTGACAGCATCTCTTGCCTACTGTGTGTATACGCTCATGACCTATTGGGCTGTTCCCAAATGCAATCATGAGAAAGACGGGCCGTATACATTAGAACACGACCAAGATGTGGTTGTAAGTGGTTTCCATGTGGCTTTCTTGCCTCAGCGAGACGCCGCAGAAGTGCTGGTGTACGCTTTGACCGGGAACACGCTTGAACAGCTTCTTATATGTGGTCTGATGCCACGTGCGCTGGATAGGTGGGCAAAGAGTCCGGCTCGTAGATCCGGGGTCGCTTGGCGTTGTATTCTTCAAACCTCAGCTTGCCTCAAGTGCTGCATTCGTTTGGCTCGCCAACCCGGTTATCTTCCGTGTGTTGTGATGGGCGGTTGAAAAGGAGCTGGTAAATCTTCTACGATGTGACTGCGTTGTACTATCGTGCACTCTGCAGTACTGTCATCTAAATCGGTGTTGGAAACAACAGGAGAGACATATGTCTTTCGCCTCTTGATTGGATTATGATACTTGTGGCTGATATCACCTTGTAAGGTACACTTGAACGCTCCGGGAGCCAGATCAGTTAAAATGGCAATGGAGAGAATTCTCCAACGAGGATGACATGGGGAAGTGCGTTAATAAAAATCTTACCCTTCACCGATGTATACACGTACCATGAGCAGGGCGAAAGACCAAGCCATTACCAAGATATACTCGACGAGAGAGCCCGGGTCTTCTGCAGACTCAAAACGGTGAACAGGTTCGTTACTGGGCGAGAAACCTTGTACTGCCCTATGTGCGATAACGAGTATTCCAAGGCAACATACGGCGGGCGTGGAATGACGGATCCCGGTGAAGCGTACGCATTCCTTAAGTTTGGCAGCCCTTATACCCGGATCCCGAGCTCATTATTGCCGTACGACCATGCTGGGTCAATGATGAGAAGGTTCGGGTTCGGGGCAGAACATCCCGTCGACGGGCCCGTCGTGACAATCTGAACCACTTAGATGCCATCAGACAGCTCCGACGTCGCATTGCCGACGCCGGACTTGGCCCGACGCCCCGCGTTTTCAACTCAACCTCTCCCCGGATCCACATCCATGGGGGCGGGGGCGGTACGATTCGGATACTGAATACGAGAAATCAGTGAGGAAAGCCGAAACAATCTCTTTCAAAACCCCCATTCCTCGAACCTATTCAACTACGCAACTTCAAGTCTCAGATTCATCTCGCACATCAAATTTCGCCGAAAGTTTTGATCATGGAGTCATTCATAAAATCCAGGGAAACCCGACCTGAACTCCTACAAACCCTCCTGGCCGCTCTTCCTCCACGGGATAAGTCCCTCGAGGAGTTCCGCGACGTCGCAACTCTCCCAGATGGCTACAAAATTGATCTCCAAATTGTCCGCCCGCGCGGCGTAGACGAGTCGAACGCGGACCGGCCTCTCATTCTGCTCTGGCCAGGCGGTGGTTTCATCGTTGCCGGCGTCGAGCCGACGACCCGCCCCGCGCGGGAATTTGCGCTCGAGTTCGGCGCTGTAGTGGTCAACGCGACTTACCGTCTCGCGCCGGAACATAAGTTTCCCAGGTCTGTGAAGGACGGTTGGGAGACTGCTGTATGGTTATCGAAGAATGCTAGTCGATTCGGCGGGGATATTAGCAAGGGCTTTATTGTCGGCGGGTGGTCTGCTGGTGCGAACATTGCCTCGGTTGTCAGCCAGAGGTCTGGTGTCGAGGGGCTGGGAATCAGTGGCACGCTTCTGGGTATTCCGTTCCTGCTTGTCAAGGAGATTGTGCCAGAGAAATACGCCAAGGAGTGGGTTTCTCGAGAGACCAACGCTGAATGGAGCCCGACCTTTACTACCGCTGTCATCAACGATGTGTCGAAGGCGTTGCAAGCGGAGATCAAGTCGCCATGGTACTCGCCTTTCAACGATCCTGAGGCTATCCCTAAATCACCCAAGGCTTATATTCAGGTTGGCGATCGAGACCCGTTGAGGGATGATGGGTTGATTTATGCCAAAGTTTTGAAGGACAATGGGGTTGAGTCAAGAGTTGATAACTATCCTGACTGGGGACATCAAGGCTGGACTATCTTTGCTCCCCAAGACCAGCCTGCGGAGCTAGGGCCGAATACGATGAAGGGAATGAGGTGGTTATTGGGGAAGGAGTAGACTTCATGTACCTTATAGAAGCGAAGTATCAGATCATTGTAGAAGGCTATGATAAGGCTATAGAATGTGTGCAGGGCAACATAGATGAAAGTAATGCGATGTCAGATCAAATGCCTCTAGCTAGTGATGCACTTAATTCTTTCAAGACAAATCGAGCTAGTCATTCTCCGCGGTGGATTGGTGTTATCATCTAGTAAATCACTCCATGCTCCCAGCTTTGAGATGAAAGTCTGGGTTTCTTCTACTTCACTGAATTTGAGAGGACACCGTGTAGACATTGTGGTTCCACAGAACCAGCAGGACCAAGTGGGCGCCGCCCGTCTTTTGCATCGCAGCTGCAAGTTGAAGTTTTCTTTAATTCAGCTCAGATGTAGTTAGAGAATGATGCTCGCTTCTCTAAACTTCTCAAACGCCTCCAGCCAGCCCTGAACAGGATCTCTCTCTTCGGTGAATCCCACAGACCTCAACCTCTGCAAGCTAAGCTGTCGATCGAAAGACAACCAGTACCCAACGCTGTCAAGCTGGACACTTCCACCCCCAACGCCAGCAGTGACAGCTCTACCACAGCCCTGTTCTTCGAATATCTGCCTATGTTTCTTGACATACTCCCCAGGCTTCTCTGCATTGTCGTTTTCCCTCGGTCCAACACCAACCAGTCCGAACCAATCAGCGATCGATGGCCATAGGTCACTAAACTTGGTAGGCTGCTCTTTGTCGGCCATGTTGATGACCTTTGTACCGCACTTGTCCCCATGAAGTGAGGCGTGTATAGCGATGCGACCAAGAGTCCGAGAAGAGACGGGAGTGCAAAGGCTGTTGTACCCCGCCTGATATCCAGGGAATGATACTTCAACATTGGACTTGGAGTTCTTGCTCACTCCGTGATTATAGGCGTAGAGGGATAGGTACTGCGCCCAGTGAAGTGCCAACGAGAAACCCGATCCATTCGGGGAGAATCCAACCACCGCGTCTGGGCACACTTCTGACCAGGTCCACGGCTTGCCATCGCTCGCCTTCGCGAGGATCTTACGCCACCAGGGGTACGCGACGGTCTTTGCGTAGTCTTCGGGGAGGTTGTCTGCCATTGATTCCTCCAAGGGGGGCTTGAAGGTACCGCCAGGTGTGTAAATCCCGTAGCCCTGAGTGATGTTTGTCAGCTTTATATCATGGTATGATGGGAGATGAGAAAAACTTACTCTGGTTCCGCCAGAGTAGACAAATGCCTTGAGGTTTGTCGACAACGTGGTCACCGCATCGACCACCGTCTGCATCATACTACAGTTGGTCTTGCACTCGGCAACATCATCCCCCTCGCCCTGATTGAAGACTGTGATAATGGCCAGAATATTAGCTACATCCTCCAGTGAATGAAATTGTCAGACGGGATAAAATTCTCACCGAAATAGAATACATGGGTGACGCCCTCGATCCCATCGACTTTGCCTTTGAGCTGCGAAGTCAGGTCTTCCAGCGTCCCAGTAAGGTTGACATCAGAAGCGATTTGCAATCTGGGCCTGGTGGGCGACGCTGGTGGCCAGAAAGAGTCGGATTCTAACAGCGGTCTGTTCATCACAGCCGTGACATTCTCGAAGGAGCCCTCTGAGGGGTAGTTAGAGAGCAGCTGCTCGACAGTCGCCCAGCCGAGCAGGCCAGAGGCGCCAAAGACGATAGCGTGAGTTGATTCTGACATTTTCCAAATATCGTGGGCGTCAGCTGTATGGAGAGTTGGAAGAGGAATGAAAGACGACGTCAAGGTAGAACAAGGAAGAGCTTCGACATATACTGTACGTGCAGTACTTAGTAGAGGCATCAAATCCCTTGGACTGGCAGGAGCGATCGATGCACGTGCATGCCTAGATCGTTCAGGGTCCAAGCCGATCTACTAGTCCGCTAGCAACCAATGAGAGTCGCACATTACACACTGAGCCATGATGATTCATAGTGAGTTTTTAGAGTAACTAGAACATAGTTGTATCTAGTGTGTAAGCCGCCGGGTCTTGAAGGATCCGTTTTATAGAATTTGTGCAATCCGTGGGATCGGGGAGCACGGCAACATTTCAATCTTCATCATAACGATCGAGGCGGAACTCTGTCCAGATATCTTCATCCAGCTCGCCAATCATGGAAGGGCCAGACTGCTCGATCCGCCTGCCCACTGATTTTCGATACGAGACGATTCTCTCCTCATCAATATCTCCGCAGGCAAAATTGAAAAAGAAAAAAAGATTGGAAGTATCGACTCCGGAAATTGCTGAGTTTCGAGATGAGATCAAATAGCTGGGCGATCAGATTACCGAAATGAAGTCCGATCTTCTCTTGGGTCGATACAGTGGCCAAGGTAAGTAAATGACTTTAATTGGGTATCGTAATGGCATTCATGTTCAACACCGTGCTAAGCATATCTCTCAAGTCCCATTCCGACTTAGAGCAAATCCGCATTTCAAAGCTGGGTTCAGGTGGGATGCATTAGGTCTGTAGAATCCGGGTGATTTGAACATCGGTCCTCTCCCCCACTCTCTCCCTCTCCTTGCCTCGCCTCCCATCTTTCCCATCAACTCCTCCTCAACCCCCCCCTGCACCATATCGAGACGGCTTCTCTCACGGCATGGCCACCCAAATTCCACTCATGAAGAACAACGCACCGGCACAGACAAAGATGATGTGCGTAGAGGTATCAAGCGGCTCAGCAGGCGGGATGTTTGAAAACTGCAACACGGTGCGGATCGAGAAGTTGTTCGCAGCCTCCTGGATCGCCAGCGCCGTCAGGTTTCCGCAGGCCTCGTTCAGCGCGCGGTCCATGATGACGGTCGGCAGCTTGAGGATGGCGGTGTCGAGGACCTCGGCGTTGAACTGGTTCCCGTTGGGCGAGGCCTCGAAAAAGGTGGCGCGGTAGGTGCTGTTCGCGCCGACGGTGGAGAGGTTGGCGATGCGGGAGTACTCGCCGCATGACATGATGGTTGACTGGGCGGGTGTCGTGGGGTTTGTCTGGCGGACGACGACGGCGGGGCCTGGGGCCGGGACCTCGATTGCTTTACCGAAGGCGGCGGTGCTCATAAGAGAGACCGCCAGGAAGAGGTTGGTGAAGATTGAGTGCTGCATTTTGACTTTCGGTGGCACTTGTCCGCTTTGATGTCGAGCTTGAGCGAAAGGTGAGATGGAAGAATAGATGGTATTGTATTATGAAAGGTAGACAAGGGTGGTGTCGAGAGAGCTTCAAGTTTAACTGAAAGGACCGCGACAGCAACCAGCCGATAAAGTTCAATGACAACCCAAAAGTTTAAAAGTGGCCGGCCACTGAGAAGTGAAGGAATACAACCCCAAAAGGAAAGAAGAGAGGAAAAAAGAAGGATGACTCGTTCAAAAATGAGGGAAGAGTGGCAGCAGACAACTAAAAAGAGAGGGATCAAGGAAGTCTGTGTCGTTATATGTGCCATAATTGACATGGAGGGGAGCATTGGGAGGGGGGGTACGCACTCGGTAGGAGGGTGTTCTTGTCAGTGCAAGGGGCTGGAGCGTCTGAGACGAGATGACACATTTGGGATCTCAGATCAGACGGTCTGGTGTCTTGGGTGAAAGCCACGCCAGAGACTTGGGACGCCGCGGCTAGCTTGTCTCTTCGTATATGATTGTGCACGTTCGAAGCCGTTGGATCCTTTGGCGGAATCGTTTTCTGTTCTGTCGAACTTGAGTTCGAGAACAGAGAGTTTCCATAGTCTCCAGTCTGCAATACGACCATCGAGAGAATAAGCTCAGCAAACGGAGCCATACTGAGAGTCCATGATCGCCAAGCAGGGTGTCTCACAATCCTCCTCCCCCAAGCACAGACCAATCAACCACAACAAAAGATTGTGGACGATGTGGTCCGGCTGTGGCCCCCTCCTGTTTGATCCTCCCTCTGGCACGACGGTCGATGTTTTTGGTCGCCACCAGCATGACGAGCCCGAGGCATCGAGCCAGTCGGACGTGAATTGGCCCTGATGGGCCGAGAAACCGACCACCGTCGTGTTACCAGGTATTTGCCTGGTCTAACGTCCGGCGTCATAAGACCTAGAACGACATTAATTGGGACTTGGCTTTGGCAGGTTTACTGGGGTGGCTAGGGCCACAGCTAATCGGGGGCTGCCTCACTGAAGGAAAACTCTCGTATGGTCGTCAAGTGTCATTATCATTATTCGTCAACGGCTAATGCCATCCTGTCATTGCCGGCGTCTACGTGCCGCAACTCCCGTAAGCCTCCCAAGCCCTTGAACCGGGGGGTGGAATCTCGCTTCAAGTCCCTGACCCTTAACGCCTATCAAGCAAAGCCTCCAATGTTCCCTCCATGCCGCATCCCGTGCGAGTCTAGTCATCGTCGAGTATCGCAGACACAACCGCCCTCCTGGCCTTCTTGCCCTTTCCCTGAACGGGCTTCTGCATCTTGCCGCCCAAGCCACCCAAACTCAACGGCTTCGGCTCAACGGGTATGACACCGCACTTGATGCTCATACTCGCAAAGAAGCCGCCCACGGGCCGTAGTTCGTCCTGAAAAACAGCAACGTTGGAAAACGCGCTGCACCGCTCTCCGCGAAACAGCTTGGCCTCGCATCCGTCCGCCTTGTTTCCCATAAAGATGCCGCACTGCGCGGTGCCCGGTAGGTTGTAGCACTGCCCGTCCTTGGTCGTGAATGTCGGCTCCGTCGACGCGTTCTGCGGGAGCTCCATATCGACAAAGGACGCGCCGCGGCAGTTCTTGACGCCCGGCGAGCTGGGGAACAGCCGGACTGTGATCGGAACGGGCGGCTTTTGTTCTTGTGGTGGAGGGACAGTGGTGTTTGGCTGAGTAATGTCGACTTGGTCGGCTGTCGCGATGGGTTTCGGCGGTGCTGGTGGGGTGGGTGGGGGGTCATCGCGGTCGACAACTTGAGGCATCGCGAGGACTGTTGAGGCGAGCCATGCCGCCACGAGGGCGGCTCGTACAATGGGATTTGATGATATTCGCATGATTCTTGATGTAATACAATTGAAGAAGGATCTTTGAAGTTGTAGAGATTAGAGATTAATCTTGCGCTCGGGAATCTGTCCCATCAAAAGTTGGCGCACGCTGATGAGACGACGGCAAAGGCAGAATGCCAAGATGCATCAGCGGCGTTTCAGACCACCTCCCTACGCCAATCTGCACGGATACAATGCTGAAACACAGCTTTGAAGGCTTCAGAAGTCTCACAGATCTCAATTCAGAACATTATTTGATAGGGATAATGGGAAAAGATTGAATTAGAAGGTGTAACTAGGGCCTCTCCCCAATCCCTAGAGCGGTATATGCAACAACACAACTTGGTATCTGAATCTATAATCTTTGAACAACAATTACTACACCTCATCAAGCACCATAACAAATGTGCACGTCATGGCCGCTTGATCAACTCTAACCGCTCTTAAGGACCGACTCAGCCGACGATCTCTGCCCATCACTCTTGCTCTCCGCATTCAGAATCGCACTCTCCACAGCCGCAGCAACATCAATGTGGAAGAATGGCCGATTCATACCCTGCACAGCAGCAAGCTTGCCATCACCACGTCCCACAACCCTCGCAGCACCATCGTGACCCTTGCTCGTGGGAGAGATGACGTCCTCTTCCTCTTCGTCGCGGCTGCGCTGCGAGGTGACCCGGGGCTCGTGACCTGATCCAGAGTCCACGGGTGCGAAGCTGTAGATGGGCTTCCACCGTCCAAAGTTGCCCTCATCCTTGACGGAGGGGAATCCGAAGCCGGCGGCAGCGAGGGCGCGGCGGGTCCAGCGGTTGTTGACGTTGGCAAAGTGCCATTCGACGACCTCGGGCTCGGCGTAGTGGTCTAGAGCGTTGCGGACATCGATGAGGCCTTGAATTGAGGTCACGTCGATGTTGTTAACAGCAGAGCAGTCTAGGATGATTGCGCGGACAATAGGGCGGGTGTCGTCGAGATCGATCTTGGCGCCACGGCGCGGACCGGGGTCGTTCCAGGGACGGTCCTATTGGGCGATTGTTAGATGAATGGTCAAGCGGGGTACAGAAGGTAGGTGAACTTACGCCGAGCTTCTCGTAGCGATCGAGAATTGTCCGTCTTGCGTGCTTCTGTACATAGGCGACCAGGGCATCCATGTAGTGAGCCTGGTTGGTGTAGTTGAAGCCCTCGCCGAACCGGTAAACAAAGACACCGGGGTACGGGGTCTGAACGTCGATGTTGGGGTTCGAGCCGTCATCCTTCTCGAGAGGGATGTAGCTCTGACGGGCAGGAACATCGATAGCCTCGCCCCTCTCGTTGAAGGGAACGCCCTTGCCGGCGGTGTCTTTCGTGGCACGGTAGACCTTGACGCGTCCGAGGAAGTGACCCTTGGCCTTCGCGAGACGCACCAGCAGGAGGGCGGCAGATGCGCACATGGTCAGATAGATGCCGTTCTCAATGTTGGTGAAGATGGTGAGGAGAACGCCAGCGAAGAAGATGAAGACCTCAAGGGGCGACACCTCCCAGAACTGGTACACCACCTTGGGCGGCGTGATGAGGTCACCGACGGCGTGGATAATGAGACCGGCGAGGGTGGCCATGGGGATATAGAAGAAGACGGAGGTCAGGGCGTACAGGGCCAGGAGAACGATGACGGCAGTGAAGATACCGGCAAGGGGCGTGCGAACACCGGCCTTGGACTTGATGGCGGTACGGGAGAAGGATCCGGTGGCCGGGTAGGCGCCGAGGAAGGGTCCGAAGAGGTTCGTGAAGCCGACCGCGACGAGCTCCTGCGAGGGGTTGATGACGTAGTTGTTGACTCTTCCGAAGGACTTGGAAATGGCAATGTGCTCGATGATGAGGACGATGATGGTGACTGGCAAATCAGGGGCTACGGCACCAAGGAGCTCCGTGTCAATCTTGGGAGCGCCGGTGTGCTGGAAACCACTGGGGACCTTGCCCAAAATCTTGAACTTGGCCTTCTTGGCGTCCCAGTTGACGTGACGGTTGACGAGCCAACTGATGAGGACGTATAGGAGAATGACAAACGCCATGCGGAGTGTCGACATGAAGAACCAGAACTTCTTGCGATGGGGCTGCTTGTTCGACATGAAGTTGCAGAACGAGCGGATGGAGTACAACAAAAACAAGGCCGTGAGACCCATCGCGGCGTCGAGTCTGGCGGTAGGCAGCGCCTTCAGGAAATCGATAATAACCTCGTACGTCGGGTTACGAGTGTTGACGCCCTGCAGACCGAGGAGGGCGGGAACTTGACCCGCGGCGATGCTGATGGCGGCACCGGTCATGAAGGAGGTGATGGCCACGAGCGGGATGAACTCGACGATCCATCCCAGACGGACGAGACCGATGAACAGCAGGACGGCACCGGAGATGACGGCCAGAGCTTGAGCGATTTGAGGGCCGTCGTATTGCGGGTGAGAATCCTTGACGCGGAGCACGATGTTACCGACAAGTTGGGACATGACGGCGACGGTTCCAATTGTGATGTCCTTTGAGGTCGCAAAGGCCCAGTAGAGAATGAAACCGACGAAGGAGGTGTAAAGACCGTATTCGGGGGTCAATTGCGCGAGGAGGGCGTAGGCCATGCCTTGGGGGATGACGACAAAACCGACAGTGACACCTTTAGATGAATAGTTAGCTATCAAGGTATTCCGAGGTATTGGAATGAGATGGCAGATGAAATTGCATCACAAGGGCTCATTCAATGTGATATTTGAGCAAGCACCAATGGCATCACATGAAAAACATACCAGCAATGATGTCTCCCAGAAGCCAGGTAGCATTGTAGTGGAAGATCCACGACCAAAAGGGGAACAGGCTCTTGATGTAGTTCACAGCGCCGTGAACCGTGGGCCGGTGCTCGTACAGGAACTCGGCGACGGTAGGTTCCCTCTCCTCATACTGCTCGACGGAGCGGAACGAGGCGGCGGCGGATTGGACGGCCTCGGTAGGCTCGTTGCGGTACCGGGCATCGACGTCGATACCAAGGCCCTTGGCCAAGGTTCTTCCGACCTTGCTCGACATGGCGAAAGGCGCGTCCGGAAGTGACGGTCTGCCGTGTGTAATGTTCCCAAGAGATTGATCCGAAGTAGTTGTCCCAAGGTATAGGAAACACTTGGCAAAGGGAATACAGGTCTTGGTGACGAAGAATTCAATGAGGTAGGAAACACCAAATCTCAAAAGAGGAGGCGGACGAGTCAACTAATAAGGTTTCTGACCTGGACCTGGAGACTGGACGACACGAACGAGGCATATTGGTAGGGTACGTCCGGGACCGGGGAACCTTATATGCTGCGGAACGCAAGTCACCCCCAAGAAATCTCAAAAAACTGACAAGAACCCACGATGATGCTATCCCCCTCTTGGAAGCAAAGCTTGGCCGCGTCGCCAAGAAGCGTGGCTTCGGATCGTCCAGGCCTCGCCAAGGTGCCCTTCGATTGGAGCCCTGCGAATGTTGCACTCCCACATGCCGCCAAGGGTAGGGGTGTGGGAGTTGAAAGCCATTTTCTGACGACATAATCATTCTCTATGGCGTCGCATGGGATGTAGACACCCTCTCATTTTGATTTCCTCCATCTTGATGAATTTGAGAAATCGCAGAAAGTCTCTAAAAGGCATCCAGTCCTCTGGAACAGCCCATATGTTTTGGAGTAGCATCGCTATTTTGATATGTGGTGGCCCAGGCCGCACTGGGGGGAAACGGGGCGGATGGCGGGGTGGGCCACCAGTTTCTCCCCGTATGCATATTAGACCGAGCTAATAAAGGGTCCTCTTCTTTCGTGGGAAGAGCATGTCTGACTGACTGTTTTCCTGTAGGTACTTCCGCGTGTTGGAAATACGTACATGCACTCCAGGCCGGGGTGTGGAATGCTAGCCTTCGGTGCGACCACTCTCTCGGACGACTGTCTTGCCTGACCAAAGCTAATTAGTCCAACCCAATTTGATGGCTTCTCCCTCGCCCGTGCCCGGCCGCCGGGATGCTGACTCTCTCGGTTGGACGCGTGGGGGCGACGACGAGCAGGAGGAGGAGAGCTGTCAGAAAAGCAAAGTTCCGCCGTCCCCAAGTCACTGCGCGGCCGGGATGGCCTTAATTCGGCATGTGCCATATGCAGCTGGGCTACTGCGCGGCTAACATGCGCAGACACACGCACACACGGCAGACCACAACTGGGATATTAGTACCAACATCTTGAATGGATGGACGATATCTTCGCCTCCCAGACCACTCAAAAGCTGAGATCGGCTCTCCGTGTGATCATGCCGTCCTCTTCAGCCTTTTGCACATCGATCAGGGATCGACCGGTGAAGGACACGGCAGGTGGCACTGGGGCTGATCAGTAGAGGGTTGACTACTGGCGTTCCAGACCACTGGTGAGGGTATCGAGCGCGCGGCATGTTTGAGACGTTGGAAAGGCCGGACAAGGCGGGCGGTAGTGAAGAGTAGTGCCAAAGCTATTAAGAGACTGCGGCCGAGAAGAGAGAGAAAAAGGGAACTAAATTGGCCTTTCTCCGCGGTATGCGGCGGGTAACATAAGTTCATATTCAGTGGCTTGCTCGAATATATGCAGGCTTGCATTGGACAGGCGTTCCTGCTCATGCCTTTTCTCTCTTTTCAATTTTCCCAGCATACCGGGTCGATGCTCCTCTCATTAAGCTTAAAAGCCAGACGGGTTTGTCGGTTACTGCTGTCAGGTTCGTCCGCGATGCCGTGTCTAGCATAGTCGACGTCGTGTGTGGTCCAGATGTCCTGCCGAACACCCGAGATGGGAAAATCGACATCCCAATGACACTCTTGGGGGAGCTCTGTCCACCATCACCACCACCATCTCTACCACCCCTTCTCTCACCCCCCGTATGGACGACAAGACGGCTGGACCAACCCCCAGAAGACAACAGGAAGGCTGGTCCCTGCTCCATCTGTTCTCTGGTTGTCTCCCCGGGGCTGAAAGTGAAGGGTGTGATATGGGGGAGGTGAGGATGCATGGGGGTGTGGTGTT